GGGGGGGGCTTCAGCCCCCCAAGTTTGGTTCAAGCTCCTCCAACTCTGGTCGAAATGCGTCCGCCCCAACCTGACAAGCGAAGTTAGCCCCCCCCAACGTTCCGCTTAGCCCCCCCATTGACGAAAACCTGGCTACGCCACTGCCTGGAGGGGATATCTTGAAGATATCTTCAGTCAAACGCTTTTCGATATCTTGAGGAGGATGTCTTAGGGACATCTTAGGGATGTCTTTAGGCATCTTCAGTGCTCTCTGTCGCCTTCAGTCAGGTGCACAGCTTCGACGGTAGATGTCTCCCGTGAGCCCTGATCTACAACCTCAGATCTTTTCTATCGAATTCATCTACTTGATTTGTCCTGAGGACAAGTAAGGATTTTCGTACCATACATAAGGAAAACTGCCATCAGGGAAAGTGAAAAAATTGCGGTCCGAATTTTAATTTATTCCTTTATATTCTCATTAATGATGTCTGATTGGCATGTCTGGATACAACTATATTGGTTGGATTAGATTCTAGATTGGTTGGATAGATTAGGTGTTCCTATATAAAATAGACGTCTACGAAAGCAAAGGGTTCTCCTGTGCGATAGGAAATGAGTCCATATGGGTAGGAAGGAATAGGAAGGCCCCTACAAGTACTACCTGAGACTTCTCACTTGTCCCAATCGGATATCCCTGGGACATCTCTGGGATGTGCTATTTCTTCAAGAAAGGGATGTCATTGGGCCCAGACATTTTGATATCCCTACTCCTTGTCTCTGGGACATCGCACTTGTCCCAAGGGGATATCTTTGGGATATACCTGTGCTGTGTGGGTAGTCACCATTAACTCCCTCATCCCGAGGCGCCTTGAGGAAGGCATGCTAGACAGACGCACAGCAACAGTGCTTTCGTCAAGGTCGTTTTTCTCGTTGCTGAGGCGCTTCTTGGGACTGAAATCCTGCTGATTTCGCTAGTATTTTTAGTTCTCCGATCCGTTGTTAAGGAGCTACGAATTTTAAAATCTGATTTTCATTTTAGTGTTCATCAACATTTCTCTGTGCAAACTGTGCTGCCAAAATTTCGAAGAAGAGAGCAACTCTCTGTATCATATTTTCCGCGATCGAGGATTAACTTTATTTTATGGGAGTCATGTGTACCAATATTATTACTAAGCTTTGACGGAGTCGTCTGCTTGTTCAAATTATGTTTACTCTTGCCTGCAGTGCGTTCGTTACGTGAATTTGTCAGTGTACTGAACTTGTGGTTTGTGTTACTGAGTTCCCGGTTCAAATTTCGTGGTGTTGACGATGCTCTCCGGTACTTTCACGAACTTGGGGGGAGTCTTATTTCCAGAAGTGTTTTCGCTCCAACGAAAAACGGAGAGACGTAGAAAACCTAAATTTCGTATAGAAGCAGCTCTAGGAAAGTTGATTTCGAGGAAAATACTACTTTTGAGGTCCATCCCCTCTGTGCACAAATTTTTACGTGGGAACGTTTCCAATCAAATTTTTTCGCTCCAGTGAACCAGTCAGCTGAGAAAAGCTGAAATATAATACAGAAGTATCTATTGGGCCTGTCAATTTAGGAAATATTCTACTTTGAGGTACATCCCCTGGGGACATATTTTTGCAACGTGTTTTCCGATGTTATTTTCGTTGCAATGATACGGGCAAACAGAAATGTGAAATTTGATAAATGTAATTTTTGGAATTTTGAGTTCAGGGAAAATTATAAGATAAGGAAGATGCCGTATCCCAATACGGCACCTTCCGGCCCTTTTGGGGTTGGGATAATCCAAATGAATCGATCATTTTCTTAGATCGTCGAGCGCCGAAAGCGCTACTGTTGCGAGTGCCCAAAGAGCTCACAAAAAATTCGTTTGACCTTTGGTATAATTGACGAATATAAAGGGAATAGCTGGGATCGAGAGAATTGATGTCCTTAAATTTTTTCGTGGGATTATTTCCTCAAAATCTCTGGACGTTAACCACTCCACCCCTGCCTTTTTTTTCAAGCTCCTTGAAACGTCTTAAGCCACAGGCTAGTCTTCAGGTTCAGCTGTCTCCAAATCATCCTCATTATGACTCTCATCAATATCGAAATCAGAATCGCCCCCAAGTTCGTGAAAGTACCGGAGAGCATCGTCAACACCACGAAATTTGAACCGGGAACTCAGTAACACAAACCACAAGTTCAGTACACTGACAAATTCACGTAACGAACGCACTGCAGGCAAGAGTAAACATAATTTGAACAAGCAGACGACTCCGTCAAAGCTTAGTAATAATATTGGTACACATGACTCCCATAAAATAAAGTTAATCCTCGATCGCGGAAAATATGATACAGAGAGTTGCTCTCTTCTTCGAAATTTTGGCAGCACAGTTTGCACAGAGAAATGTTGATGAACACTAAAATGAAAATCAGATTTTAAAATTCGTAGCTCCTTAACAACGGATCGGAGAACTAAAAATACTAGCGAAATCAGCAGGATTTCAGTCCCAAGAAGCGCCTCAGCAACGAGAAAAACGACCTTGACGAAAGCACTGTTGCTGTGCGTCTGTCTAGCATGCCTTCCTCAAGGCGCCTCGGGATGAGGGAGTTAATGGTGACTACCCACACAGCACAGGTATATCCCAAAGATATCCCCTTGGGACAAGTGCGATGTCCCAGAGACAAGGAGTAGGGATATCAAAATGTCTGGGCCCAATGACATCCCTTTCTTGAAGAAATAGCACATCATATCCCGAAAGGGATATCTCTAAGATATCGACTGAAGATGTCTAAAAGACGTCCCGAAGACATCCCTTAAGAGATGTCCGAAACCGTCCGAAAGAAGATGTCTTCAGGATATCCTATAAAGACATGGGGACAAGTCGTCCAGTTACGGACATCCCTGGGATATCCCTGTGCTGTGTGGGTAGTACTGATCAGATGCTGATTTCGTCCTCGTCTATTCAAAACCTAAGATAAACCCAGAGGTATTAATATCCACAGTTTGTCTCAGCTTTCACAAGGCCAGATGTGGCTAGTCAGTGGCGCAACCAGCTCTAAAGTTTTGGGGGGGTTCGAAGTTCGCATGACCTGTCTTTCAAATGTCTCCAAATGCAAGGTGTTATCAAATCATCAGGAGAGATATGCTCGACAAAAACGCAAAACGGCGAGAACACGCGAACGAAGAAAATGAAACGAAGAAAAATGTTTTGAAATGGCAGAAACAGAATTTGACACTAAATGATGAAAGCACATTCAATATCTGAAAACGCTTAAAATTAACTAAATTAAATTCGGGATTTAGCCCAAATATCACTGCGCAGATGTGCGACTGGAAATTCATTAACCTGTACGATTCGCGCCTTTTATTTGAATTGTCGTCCTTCCGTTTTCAGAAAAAATTTAGCAGCGGCTCGTGTGCAGGACGTTTACTTGACGGACTCACTTTACTAAAGTGAGTTGCTACACGTAACTGGCGTGACCTTCACGTTTCACCGCCTTTATTTGTGCCTTTCCAGCCTTATTCTCAGGTCGTTTGCACGTGATATCTTTCTGCGTCCCCCACCCTCGGGGAGAGGGGGATGGAGTAGAGAGATACCATCATGAGCAGGGGTTTGGGAGGGAGGGGGGGGGGGGGGTTCAGACCCCCCCGATCCCCTTGGTTGCACCCCTGTGGCCAGTGTCTCTGTTTGGGAGATTTTCTCTTCGGGAAGCGGGGAAGAGCTTTTTTGTTAAATACGAGGACAAATTTAGAAAGACAGTAAAAGATTATTTATCAGTCAAGTCTCACGACTTCCCCTCGATAACGTGTTGTCAGTTTTCACAACAAAACGTTCTTCAAAATAGAAGTCACATGCGACGCATGAAGAGGTCAAAGTCCAGTCCTTCCTAAGGAAAAAAAACTGTTCCCACCTGGTTATCTTACCCTCTGGCACCGTAAAAAGGTGCTGCACTTCTTTGGAGGATCGATACCCGCTGATGCAGCCAGGAAGAAAATAAAAAGGCATAATTCTGGAAGAGCTGCCCTAAAACTTATCTCCGAGAAGCACGCCGTTAGCGATTATAGCGCTGCTAACGGCAAAACTCTCCCATCCTCATTGTCTTGTGGTGGAATAAAAAAAAATGAATATATTTCAAGACAAGTGTATATCTAAATTGGGAGAGGGTACTATTGAGGTCATGCAATAGTTGTGGGGACCGAATTTGGGAGCTCCACGATTTTCATTTATTGATTGATTTCTTTAGAATTTACAGGACTGGCCAAAAAAAGTAAGCCACTCAATTTTGCTGTAAAATCCTTATTTTTGTACGGATGGACTTGAAAATTTAATGGAACATTGTTTTTGTTATAATATGTTCTTCATATTAAAACATGTTCATATTGAAGAACATATTAAAATGTTACTAACATATTAAAATGAGGGACAAAACTGTTGCAATGTTCGACACATTGCCAGTTTATGACTCATAACTCGAGTATGACGAGTTCAATTTTACATAAATTTCAGTCAATCATACTTCAACTTCTTGGTTTTGGATTGGTGCTAGTCACATGTCAATTGGCCCCCTATTGGATGAGCTGCAGCTGTTGAAAGCTAACCAGGTCATTGCAACAGTTTTGTCCCTACGATATCCACGATATAAAAAACTCCCCAGTCTCCCATTTCCCAAATGAAACCTGGCCAGAAGCCACCTAAGCAAGCCTGTAGCTTGCCTAGGTGTAGATGTGGTAGGCTTGGGCGGGGTTGGGTTCCATTTGAACGTTCCTGGCAACATGAAACCTGTTTCCCAACAAACTCGCGACAGCATCGCCTCACTCGTCGACCATGGCCTCTCGACGCGTCGAATTACAGCCCAGCTTGGTATAAGCTATAGCACCGTATCCCGGGTGCGTTCTCAAGTCAGACCCGACGCATCATAGAGCAATGGTGGGCGTCCATCCAAGCTTCCGCCGCCGACAAGCGCAGAGTCATCTGGATGGTGGCATCGGGTCAGGTTGACACAGCAGTGCAAGCGACGAGGCAGCTCAAAAGCAGCACCTCGGTAGAATGCAGTGCCAAAACTGTTCGCAGAGCTCTGAAAGAAGCTGGTCTGAGGGCAACAACCAAGCGAAAGAAGCCGCAACTCCAGCCGCGGCATATCCTATAGCGGCTAGAATTCGCCCGCCGCCACCAACACTGGACTGTAGAGGACTGGAAACGCATAATTTGGTCAGACGAGACAAAAACCAACCTCATGAGGTCGGATGGGTGTGATTGGGCATGGAAACAGCCCGGCGAAGCCCTAGCAGAGCGGTACGTGAGGGAGACCCGCAAGTATGGTGGAGGTGGCCTGATGTTTTGGGGCTGCATGACGCCCAAAGGAGTCGGGCTTGGCTGTCAAATCCAAGGAAGAATGGATGCCAGGCTCTATACAAGCATCCTCGAGGAAAAATTGCTCCAAACACTGGCGCATTACGGCCTCGAAGTGGGAGAGGTGGTGTTTCAGCAGGACAATGATCCGAAACACACCTCGCGGCTGGCTCGCCAATGGTTCCAGGACCATGGAATCGAGGTCCTAGAATGGCCAGCACAGTCGCCAGACCTCAACCCAATAGAGCACTTGTGGCAACATTTGAAGCGGCGGCTGGCGAGGTACGAGAATGAGCCCGTCAGCATCCATGAGTTCTGCCAGCGGGTCAAGACTGAGTGGGACGCCATTCCAGTCCAGACATGCTTGGATATGATTGAAAGCATGCCTTGAAGGGTTCAGGCAGTGTTGAAGGCCAAAGGCAAGCACACAAAGTATTAATAAATTCGTTTTTTCTTATGCCTGAGTGAAAGGGACAAAACTGTTGCAATGACCTCGTTCCCTTTGAACAACTGCCACTTAGACAATAGGAGGCCAATTGACATGTGACTAGCGCCAATCGAAAGCCAGGAAGTAGGAGTATGATTGACTGAAATTTAAGCTAAATTCAGGAGTCAGGAGTCAGGAGAGTTAGTGATATCAAGAGGCGATTTCGCCCATTTCGATATCACGTGTCGAGGTCGAGCGTTCCTTAATTTTAGGGTAGGCCTAACCCTCTTAAAGCTAAATATTTTTGTATTTTTGTATGGTTTTTTTTTTTTTTTTCTACCCTAGTTGCTTACTGTCTAGTACCTACGTCAACATTGCCCCCCACCTTTTTGCCTGTCCATGAAAGCATCTAGTTTCTTCTTAAAGATAGTCACAGAAGGGGCAGCCACTACTTCGTCATCTAACGCATTCCACGCGTTCACCACTCTGCAAGTAAAGAATTCCTGTCTCGACCTGAGCCGCACCTGCGGTTTGCACAACTTAAGTCGGTTACCTCTCGCTCTCTTGCTGTCATCAAGCTGGAAAAACCTACCACACTCGACATCATCTATTCCTTTAATTAAAATTGAATAAAAAATTGAACACGTCATACTCGAGATATGAGTCATAAACTAGCAATGTGTCGAACATTGCAACAGTTTTGTCCCTCACTGTATGTTCTTCAAGAACTGTTGACGTTTCATGGACATTTGGCCACCCACTCTTAATTTATGACAGATTTTGTATTTAGAAAAAAAGTAAAATTCTGAGTGAACAGGCAACAACTACCGCTGCGAGGCATGAATTCACATTTGATTTTCGCTTTAAAAGAAAATCTCTTCCTGTGGACGTGAAAACTTAGCGGGACGTTCTTAAATGTTTTTCACTACATGAAAATTTAATGCACGTGCATACACTTTCAGGCATTCCTATGCGAATGTGGTTTTGTGCTTCGCAACAGCAGTCGCATGCCTGTTCACTCAGAATTTTGACAATTTCGACAAGATCTTCCATAAATCAAGAATGGACAGCATTACATTTTAAAAGCTGTTGGAGAACGTGCAACACGTGGCACATATACCATGGCAGAGGCTCCATTTGCTTTCGGCGAAATTCGTCATGTAACTCCTCTCTTCTATATACACCACTATACCATTAGGTTTTCAAGTCAACTCGTTCAAATATATGGATTTCAAAGCGAAAATTCGTGTGGCATAGTTTTCCTTTTGGCAAACCTTGTAAATTGGAATCACTTAGCTCAGTGATTGGAATATAATGTAGCCAGTGGCGTATTTTACGAGGAGGGGGCCGCTCCCTCTGGCGCAGTGGCGCCCCTGACTCTTCAGCCATAATACGCCAGAGGGTAGAGTGGAAACTGCATCAGCTATGGGAATCGCGGTCGTGTCATCGCAACTGAACAACACTGAATCCAGCATGGATCATGGAAGCCAGCTAACCGTGCAGAAGGTGAAAGTCTCGTCGATCATTTCGTTGTAAGATTGACCATCATCGTGGACGGATTTACCCGTTCTTCTGGGATAAATTGGATGCCCCGGCTTAAACCTCGCATTCTGATTTCCTTCCTCTCCCCAATCCTCGTATTATTCTTGGTATTCAATGTTCAAGGCCATTTTGAACGAGAGAGATCTCGATTCCCTCTCGTCCTCCTTGTGTCCTTCGACGGATTTGGGCATGACTATTTCGAGAAGGCAAAGACACCGAATTTCGATTTGTTGAAGAAGGAAGGGGCGTTTATTCCCCGTCTCACTCCCGTTTTCGTCACCAAAACGTTCCCAAATCACCAGTCCATAGTGACAGGACTCTTTGCTGAAAGTCATGGGGTCCTGGGTTCCAGCCTCTACGATCAGGCCAATGAATCTCTTGTCGATCTCTTCAGTGATGGAGAGTTTTATGCTACAAAGAACTCCAAAGCTATACCTGTGTGGGTGAGAGGAATTCACTCGTTATTCCTTCCAGATAACAGTCACTTGGCCTAATAGTAAGATTAAGCCTCAATCCAAGGCATATTTAACGTAAGTTATCCTTAGCATGGTAGTTCTTGCCTTTCTTCATTTGAAGTAGATGGTCAAATGAATTCATTAAACTGTGCACAGTCAGGCAATAGATCCAACACATAGGCTATTTAGTGCATGCCAATTGGCCAAAGGTTGTTCTGGCAGCTGGATATGAAGAAGGCCAAAGTTGCCAAGGTGCTGTTTGCTCTTAAGCTTTTCTTGGGAATACCCTTTGGCCTGTTTTATTACAGAGAATATATGCTATCCATGTTTTTATTTTCTTCCCAGACACTAAATGAAGATGCAGATGAGGGTAGGAAAAGTGGAGTGGTGGCATGGCCAGGATACAACTTCCATTATGGATCTAATCACAGACTTCCTACTCACTCCATGTCCTTTGCCAGTAACTTGACCTACAGACAGTGGGTAAAGAGCATGGATACTGCTATCAGCTGGTTTGAACACCACACAACCCCGGCCAATCTGGTTGTGTTTTATCTTGCAGAACCAGATACCACAGGCCATTTATATGGCCCTGAGTCAGAGCAGGTGCTGGTTATATATTTTTTTCCTTAATTACATTCTGGAAGCTTTCAAATATGTATTTAGCTATCCTGTAAAAACCTGTCTTTAAGTTGAGGAGTTATATAATTTCCAAGCAAACAATATAGTAGGCTTAGGATTCATTATGTGTAAGATAATTTCTTAAAATGCCTTTCTCTAAATTTATGTAAAATCAGTTTCGCAGGAAGTTTAAAAAATTGTGAATGCATTCAAATTTAAATTGTTTTGAAATCATGAAAGGTATTAGGTTGTTTCACATGAAATGTCAGATTTTTCTCTATACAGGCAGTCCTCAACTTACGACGCTCCGACTTACGACACTTTGACTTAGGACGCTCTAAGCCTAGGGCTGAAGGAGTCATTGACATGTAGGCCTGAGGCCTCCCCCGTATTACCGTCATATGTCGAGGACTGCCTGTACAATATGATGTCTTCAAAAGAATTGAGACTACTTTTTTTGTATGAGTTCAAATTGGGGCACAACGCAGCTGTAGCCGCGAGTAACATCGACTTGGCGTTCGGGAAAGGGACTGCTAACCAGCGGACTATTCGGCGGTGGTTCGAAAAATTTCGATCTGGAGACATGAATCTCGAAAATGAGCCCCGAGGAAGGCCTGAATCTGTTGTGAATGAAGAACATTTAAGAGCCATTGTGGAAGCTAACCCACAAACGACAGTTCGGGCTCTTGCAATAGACCTAGGTGTTTCTATTGCAACTGTTTCTCGACACCTGGCTGCAATAGGAAAGGTGAAAAAATTGGAGAAATGGGTGCCGCACGAATTGACGGACAGCCAGAAACTGCGACGCCTGGAGGTGTGTTCATCGCTGATGGTCAGGAACAACAAAGAGCCATTCTTGGAGCGAATCATTACCTGCGACGAGAAATGGATCCTGTACAATAACCGGAAAAGAAGTGGACAATGGTTGAATGCTGGTGAAGCTCCAAGACATGCACCAAAACCGCCATTGCACCCAAAAAAGGTCATGGTGACAGTATGGTGGTCTGCAAAGGGAATCATACACTATTCTTTTTTGCAACCGGGACAATCAATTACAGCAGAATCATATTGTCAGCAAATTGAAATTATGCATCAAAAATTGGCCACCGAACAGCCAATATTGATAAACAGACAAGGACCGATTCTGCTGCACGACAATGCTCGACCCCACACGTCACGAACCACCGTGGGAAAATTAACAGAATTGGGCTATGAAATTTTGCAGCATCCACCATACTCACCTGACCTTTCACCAACGGATTATCACCTTTTCCGTCACTTGGAGCTGTTTCTCCGGAATAAAACATTCCGGGACCGAGAGGCTGTAATTGGAGCATTTGAGGAGTTTGTTAATTCAAAAAATGTAGAATTTTATAGAAATGGAATATTTTCCTTAGTATCCCGTTGGGAGAAGACAATTCAAGCTAATGGAGCATATTTTGATTAAGTGAAATTTTATTTGTTAAAAATATAGCCTTTTAAATCTCATCTTCAAAATCGGACATTTCATGTGAAACAACCTAATACTTATATATTTTAATGAAATTTTGCATGAAGTGATTGCAGGCAAGTGTTAATTTCCCATAGCTAAAAGCATAATATTGTCTCTTTTTTTCCAGGTGAAGGAAAAGATCAGTCAGATTGATGATCTAGTTGGTCATATGGTATCCAAGTTGAAAGAACTTGAACTCTTGAGTGAGGTGAATCTGATCATACTCTCCGATCATGGAATGTTGTCTGTCCCACGCAAGAACATCATCCACCTCCGTGATATTGCTGATCCCAGAGACTACCACATCGCCAATTCTTCTCCCTCATTATTTATTTATCCTAACCCAGGTAGAACTGAAGGAATCCTTTGCAGTAGATGGAGAGTTAAAGGACTTGAAAAAGTTATTTTATGTTGGCAGGTAAAGAAGCAAAAGTACTGGAAGCCTTCAAGAAAGCTTCGATGCAAATGAACTTTACCTTCTATGAGACATGGAGTGCTCCAGATCATTGGCACTTCAAGGAAAACCCCTATCTTCCTCCATTCTTCATTATTGCTGACAAGGGCTATGCATTTGATGAGGTTCCTTGGCTTGTTAACTATAATGGTATGCACTTGCCTTGTAACGGAAATGTACAGTTTTATTTCACCCTGATCAATTTTATTTGGAGAAATGACTAGTGTAGCTTGTTTGTAGCATTGATTAGTACCTGGAGAATTCATATCCTGGATGTAGGAAAAGAGTGGATTGAACCAAAGGGGAGTATTATAAAGCTTTCCTTTGAATAAATTTGAAGGATTCTCTAATTAACAGGATGAAGTCATATAAGAAATTATTTTTAAAATACCACATTGTAAAATCAGTAGCATTTGAAGATGTACCTCTTGGACTTCGTAAATGGATTATTTTTTAAGTTCATCTCTCTATTCATGCTCTTTAACCCTTTCAGACCTGAATTAAGGCACTATAGGAATACTATACTTTTTTGCATGTTTGAGTTCTTCCTATTTTACTTTGAATTTTTATGCTCTATACAGTTGACCCTCGATATAGCGCCAACTCTTTCCTGAGAATGAATCTTCCACATAGGTTTATCATTGGTGCTCCCCCGTTATAGCGCCACCCTTGCAAGCCACCATCCGCCAATGCTCTGCCTTGCATAAACATGCCTTATTCAACGTAAGTCGTACTCGATATGGCACCAAACAGCATATCGTACCAGCTACAATGATCAAACTATACACTACTCTGGTGGAAAAAAATGACATGCTGTCAGCCTTTCCTTTTGATTGTTTGATAACGAGATTGTGAGGGATGACAGCTTTGGCATGGATGCCAGGGATTAGAGGAGGGTGTAAGAGGTCTTTTAATCTGACCTAATCCTGCCTCTCCTTTTCTTTTTTTTGGAGAATGGAAATGCCAATTTCTATCCTCCAAAAGAAAGGAGCCTCTTTCAGTCCATAGTTTCTCCAGACATTTGTTCAACTGTGTTCATTATCCAGTAATGAGGGAAAGGACAGTTATAAGTGCGAGGGAAAAGTGGAAGTGTTTTGTTACAAGGAGGCACATGTGGCCAAAAGTCAGCCAAACATTAGGAATCATTTTTCAAAGCTGTGTAGTTTTGTTCTCCGTTGGCAGCATGGATGAATTAAAGTGGATTTATTTGCTAATTCTTTTATATTTAACATTTGAGTTATTTATGAAATTTTCAGTAAAAAAAACCATGCTTTTCGATATAGTGCCAAAATCAGCGAAGACCAACAGTGGCAGTATATCAAGAGTTGACTGTATATAGTTTTTATATTTTGTTTAAATTTTCCATACCATACCATTTTTGTATATTATACATGTCATTACTATGGAGCAGATTTTTATGTGCTAATAAGTCCTGAAATATGTGCTTGAAATGCCAAAATATGCATGAGATATGCACGAATAAGGGAAAATATGTGAAAACGTTTTTTTAAATGCAATATGAATTTTCCAGAAGAAGGAACTTTAATGTACATTACATGCCTCAACTGGGTATAGTTGTTCTTGTCTTCTATTCTTGTCACAGCCAGTGGTCAAGCAAGGATTTCACCAATGGAAATGAACAGGCCCTAAAATTTCCTAAACTTCTCGGGAGGGGTGGAGGTGACGGATGGATCTTGAGCAGAGTTTGGGGATCTCACCCCCCCCCCCCCCTCGCTATGCTGCTGGTCGGACTTCGTAACTGCATGAGAATTTTCCTCGGTAGCTCATAAAGAAAGCAAAATTTTCCTGGAAAACCCTTATTTTTCCCATAAAAATGAGTGAAATATGCATAAATATGCACAGATATACAGAAATATGCAAAAGCTGAGAAAAACGTGAAAATATGCCATTTTATGCATTTTTAAAATGGCATAAATGACTTCCTCTATCAATGAGACATGATCCTATCTGGGTTGCATGCTCATAGGAGGCTGCAGGAAAATATGCATTTGCATAAAAATCTGCTCCCTAGTCATTACATAACAGAAGATTATGTATTATGAAGGCCTCTGACAGAAATGAGTCATGCATAATTGAGTCATTGTAGTGTAGTATGGGGTGCAAAGTCAACAGAATCCCAAGAAATTACCGTAGAAACAATGAAAATACAACGTCCATTGGAACAGGTCTGAAAGGGTTAAAAACCTACTTTTTGTGTTTTGTCATAAGAAATAGATTTAATGTAAAATCTTTATGAATAGCATATTGCAAAATTGTTGGCATATATGAATGTAGAAGAACACCAGGTTCCTGATGAAACAGGATGGGGAGAGAGTGAAGTAAAACAGCAGTATGCAACATACTCTGAAGACAAGAAAAGTTTATTTATTGGGTGGAACTAGCTGTGGCAAAAAAAAATCTAAACTTTTGTGGAAATATCTGGTACCGAAGACTTGTAGTGTGATTCTGCTCTTAACTACCACTGTTCTTGAGTTAGTTGAGCATGAAACCCTCCTCATGACTGAAAAGGGCCTAATTCATACATTCAAGATACAAAGGGGTACAGAGTCTCTTCAAAGAAAATAAATTGAATTGGTGAGCTTTTGGCAGATATGCCTTAATCCTTATCTGGACAAGGTATTTTTGCAGCACAAAACAGGTAAGGGAGAACGTTTTAAGACATTTTTCCTTAAAAGCAAATCAAAACATAAAGTCATTTTTGGATTTATGGATAACTGTCTTTAAAAGACATGCTAAATTTGTAGCAAATAAAAAAAAAATTGTTTGAGAGTACTGCAATGAATAATACCCTGGGGAGTTCAGTGGACTCCTATTGCCTAGATAAGGGTTTAATGCTCAATAGCTCAACTTCTTTCAGCTTTCCTATAGATCAGCAGTCAGCAACAGGGGCCAGATGGCAGAGTACTGCACATGTGCAAGCCAACACCTATCAAGTGTCACTAAAATGAAAATTTTAATGAATGTCTACTGTCAGACTGTAATGTCCAATAGCCAGGTCTTCACAGGCCAGAAGGAGGGCTTCTGCAGGCTGCTTGTTGCTGACCACTGTTTTAGATAGTCACCCATTTATTTTTTACTTGGCATATGAAATTTATCTATTGATGTCTTCTTTTTTGGTAAACCAGCTTTGGTTATGGGTAGCTTCAGGTTGAGTTATCAGGAAATTGAAGCAATACCTGAATTGAAGTAATATCTAAAGTATAAGAGAAGTCTGGTTTTGCTCTCAGTGCAATATTAATCACTGCAAAGGTATATGATTTTGCAAATGGCTGGGACCTGGTAGCTGTCTTAGTATTCTCCCTTCCTTTCAATGGATCACATTATATTGGGTTGTAACATATATTCCCGCCGTTTTTATATTTTGTTTGTTTTCACTCCATATTTTTGAAGTTTGGCAAAGTGGATATAGTCATTCGAAAGAGCCTTCTTTCCTCTACAAACTTATTGCCACCATTTTTCCAAATAACTTAATTTTACTTAACTTTCAGGTAATTACGGCGAAACGCGAAATAAAGCAAGTGTCGAAAATGGGTTTTCTTGCCGACTGGTATTTCCATTTCAAATACCTGAAAGTTAAGTAAAATTAAGTTATTCGGAAAAATGGTGGCAATAAGTTTGCAGAGGAAAGAACGCTCTTTCGAATGACTATCCACTTTGCCAAACTTCAAAAATATGGAGTGAAAACAAACAAAATATAAAAATGGCGGGAATATATGTTACAAGCCAATATATAAGAGACTGTTAGACATGGCTAGGTTTTGAAGTGGAACTTCGTTTTGTAGTCTTGAATGTTGAATGATCCTATATTTCAGATGGGCAGGAATTTCATGGGGTTCATGGCTATGACAACCTTATGCCAGAGATGCAACCATTCTTTCTGGCCAGAGGACCTGCATTCAAGAAAGGCTATGTGGGTTCATCACTGGAGAGTGTTGATATTTACCCACTACTCTGTCACCTCCTCCAATTGACTCCAAATCCAAACAACGGATCTTTGATTCATGCTTTGCCACTTCTCATCCAACCTCCTTCCCACATCTTCTCTCTCATTGAAATTAGTGTGTTGTAGATCCCCTTTGATCAACTATGGGTCTTGGAATGAGTAATGTACCTGATTCCATGAGTTGAAGAGATTTCTTGATATGTATTTGCAGTTGCTGCATATATGCTAGCCTGCTTTGCTGTGATGATAGCAGCTTGCTTTGTGCTTGGTGCCATGTGGCAGCCAAGAACCAAGTCATCTGTTGAAACATATAATCTCTGGTGAGTCTGTTGATGGTGTATTTTCCAAAACAGGTGCTCCTGGATCCATGGTAACTGATACTTTTTTCTTGTTTTTTTTTTTTTTTTTTACAAAAGGAGCAGGAATGGAGAGAAAGAAAGCAATGCTGATGAAAGTGTCAAGCTACTTGTCAATGAGGATGATGTCTCACCTTGATCTCTCGATTGAGCATCTCATTGATACAAGAAGTTACTGCATAATCCTATTATAATGATCTCACATGTATGGAGGAACTTTGTCTGCAAACAGAATGTTTATCCCTAGTCCATTATGGTATGCAGAGAACATATGTTCTGAAGTCCCTTTTTAACCATGTTGGAATGGCCTTAACCCTTATCCAGTTAGTCTCAGTAAAATAATAAAAAAAGTCAGATGACATATTGATGAATTTCTCTTTTATGGGGCACGTATTTTGAGGCTGGCTTCAACCTAAGATTCCCTATCTACAATACATTTACTCATTTGGTGGATAGCTTTGAACATGGGATAGTTTGGTGGGAGGCCGGGGGCAGTCTCTATTGGTCTCCAGGGAATTTTAAAAATATTTTCAGTTCATTTAGCCCAACCAGATTTTGTATCATATTGATTTTAATGTCATACTCAAAGGCAGAGATCCCCCAATGCATTTACGTGCAAGAGACTCATCCCTTTCTCTATATAACTGAGCAATAGACAAAAAAAGCCAACTCTTGGTGTTTCTTCTGTCAAACTCCCTTTACATCGATGCAAAAACCTTTTTAAAGAAATGCTGCAACAAGGAATAGCAGGCAATTTTTTCATGACCTTGCATGCCTCTTGAAAATCACCTGCAAAGGCACATTAGTATGTACATGTTTCCAACAAAGCAAATAACTGGTAGAGGGACAGATGTGTCATCAAATTTCTTTTAAAAGATTGAAAAAGTGCTATAAATAAGTTTCTCCTTGAAAATTTTGGACAAAGGATATTGAAAAGGGGCAAGAGCTCCTGCTGGGAGTGGAGAGAAGGAAACGCCCTTCTCTGCTTCATTATCATCCAGTCCACTTCAAACTTCTCTTCTGTTTATATTAATTCTTTGAGCATACCTTTTCACGGTGATGGTTTTAATGAAATTTTTTCATTCTCATTTCATTTTGTATCACATATAGTTGATGTTGCCACTCATCAATAGTACTATCATTCTCTTGATAGTGCAATCTCTTGAATTTTACTTTATGAGTGCAATCTCTTGAATTTTACTTTATGAGTGCAATCTCTTGAATTTTACTTTATGCTTTGATGGTTCACTTCTGTAACTCCTTGAAAGTGTTAATTTGAAGCAGATTGTGGTGATGAATAATCTCAAAGACTGCTCCTGATAATGGACAGTTTTCAGGTCAGGACTGTTCTATGGTTAAAGGAACTCCTTTTCTTTGGATCTATCACAATCTGAACCCTGTTGATTGTCAGGTTCAGAGCACAGTTTTGGAGGAGGACACATTCGAGCCTCTGAGTTCTATACATTCATGTGCTGAAGAGGTTCTGAATTAAATGGCACTTGCAGAGTAAATGAAGTTATTGAAGTGAATTCTGAGAACAAAAGATTGTGCCCTCAGGTTTGCTAATGTTCTTTCTTTCTGCCAATTGCAACTTTTTTCATAAAAAAAATATCTGGAGAAAAGAAGAAAAGTGAAGATAAATTCAGAGATGCAATGATATTTTATCAGTTATCAGTATTAGCTGATATCGGGTGAAACCAACATATTGGACTGATACAATATATGACCTGCCAATAAGTGATACCAACAGACATCTGAAATAAGTCAAATGCTAAGAGTGTATAGTGAGCAATGGATATTCACTCATTTTTCTCATAGGAAGGTGAAAAATGTTTAAGTGCCGTGTCTTCATCAAACAAGGTTTAAGGCTATGCAAAATGTTAGCATTTTTTCCCTTTGGACTGGGAATGGGAGGTACAAGGGATTCTTGGACCATGCCTGTGCCCTGACTCAGAAGCACCAGCTAACCCCCCTCCCCCCAAATGTCTGATGATGTGTTGACAATCTGTCAGTCATGTTTCTCTGGGCTTCCAGAGGAATAAGAAAGGGAACTTGGAGAAATAATTTTTTAACTGAGTGCTTCACTTGAAGAAAATTAATTGTGGTTCCAACTCCTGGGAAGTTGGAGCTTCTATGATGAAACATCTTGGAAGTTCTATGATGGAACATAGTAAACAAAATGTCTAGTGGAAATCTAATTTAATATTTTGAAGTCCACGTTGAAGAGCCTGGCTTCAGTACGAATAATACATTTCTTTTTGCCATTGGATATCATGCATCTCATGCTTTCACCATCAGACTAAATAAAACTCAGCAGTGGAGGGGTTGATGCATGAATGTGTGGATACAGATATCGGTATTGGTTTTTTCAGACATTGGAATATTGGATATTGGCCAAAATTCAAACATTGTGCATCTCTAGGTAAATCCCTTTGTTTTGGAATTAGTGACAATGCCAAATGACCCTTGTTTCCTATTGAAGGTGATGACGTATTTTTAAATTTTAATAACAATACATCATGAATGGCAAAATCATTCTGTCCTGATTGCAAATGATGGAAAAAAATGGGATTATGCTGGTCATGTCATAGGCTTCAAAGCATGCAGTTCCCAGTTCTCAGATAGGTTTGAACTAGCTTTTGGTCTTTTATGTGCATTACAATCAAAGCTATGACTATTCATTCCATCCCACAAGTGATTCTTGGGGTTCTATCAGGGACATTCACATGAAGCATTGCATTCCTTTTTCTTATTCTCTTGCTGCATATTTATATCATGGCTCTCTAGTTACATTTCCATCCAGGTTTAATTGTGGCTCAATTGACTTTTGATTCAGCAATTGAAAGTGCATGCTATCCATTGATATCATTGTCATAGGAGATTCCTTTGGGAAATACTGTGGATTTGCTCATAAGTGCATGTATATTGGTGCTTTTGTATACCAGGTGGAGCAAAGAAAAAAGGCATCCTATTTATTGCTGTATAAAACCTACCAAAGTAATTCCAGGTTGGTAATTGTTCATATCACATAGATGGTATCCTAAAATTTACTCCCCAAAAGTTAAAAGTTTCCAGGTTGTTTAGATGGAGTAATAGTTGTTTAACCCTTTCAGACCTGGCATCCATTCCAATGGACATTGCATTTACATTGTGTCTATGGCAATTTCTTAGGATTCTCATGACTTTGCACTCCATATTACACTACAATGGGTGCAATTATGCATGGTCCAGTTCCATCAGAGGCCTTCTTTCACCCATTAGTTTTGTAATCTTCAGTTATTTAATTAAATGTATAATATACATGGTAAATTTTCAAAATATAAAAAACTATATATAAAGCATGAAAATTTCAATTACTATCGCAAAAGAATGCAAAAATGCAAAAAAGAATATTATTCTGATAGCAGCCTTAATTCAGGTCTGAAAGGGTTAAACTTAAGTAAGAAAATTTAACATTTGTACTTATGGGCTGCAGTGTTTTCAGTATTGTTCTACAGCTATCATTTGTTTGGATTTTTTTGCCTACAGTAAAACCTGATAGCTTATATGTAACAAGGTTTGGCCCCAAGCATATAAGCTAAGGCAGGTTTTATTGTATTTTTTTAAATGGCCATTTGGTTTTTGAAGTGTTCTTGGCTATGCAGTGTACTTATGTTGCAGCTGACTTAGGAAAACATTAATGCATGTTTCCTTTTTTTTTTTCTCACACATCTCCAGACCCACTAAAAAACACATCACATTCACAGCTGGAGGCCTGACGGCACTGTAGTCAAGAATAGGACTTATGGTGACTGATGAAAGAATCCTTTCATTGTTCATTTCTGATACATGGAAGAGTAAAATTTTTTTTACTGACCCTTGAATGACAGTTGATTATTATCTGAACAACTTGGATACCTTGAACTTAAGGAGACAAATTTTGTAACACAAGTAAATTATGAACATGCCATCCCCATTTTTGCTTTAATGAAGTGTCAAACAGGACACAAGTTATTTTTTTTTGCACCACTTGGTATATATTGAAGGATGGAAAGATGTTCAACTCTGTCATGAATTCATGGTGTGCTCTTTTCATCATTGCTTATCTCTGTGGTATTGTTTCATGCACTTTTCCCTTGAATGTGGAGGAAAGCCTTCATCACTCAAGTGCATTTTCACTGCTCTTGGTGATGTGTGAATAACTTTAATATTAGCATAAGTAATCCATGTTGCAGGCATTCATTTTCTCAGATGAAATAGCAACAGATTGACCTCCATAGATGCAGATCCTTGAATTTGTTAAGTGATCTCCAAGCCGTCTTGGCTTCTTGTTACTGTTCTCAGATCACCTATGTGAACTGGAACCTAGTCAATGACTCATGGATTGTAGTGTGTCCTAAAATGTCTCAAGTTGTATCCAGAACACCCCCCCTTTCTCCTGAAATAATTTCTCAGCATCACCTTGCATTTCTTTTTGCACATTAATTCATGTACTCTGCACATGTGATAAGACTGCACCTAGACTGTGATTTTCCTAAAAATGAATTATTGGTGATGGGATTATACATGCATCTTTTTCCAAGGAATATGACTAGAAATGATGAGAGGAATATCCATGGTCTATTTCAATTCATTCAGGGATAGAATAAAAACTCCAAACAGGTCTCACAGTTCCTTCAAACTAACCACATCTCAGGGAAATTCAAAATTTATCAAGGGTTTTGAGGGTGATCACACTTGAGCACACACAAACATGGAGAGAAAGAACACAGGACTTCTTGGCAAAGCCTCCTTTGGTTTAGGGAGGAATTTTGTGTGTTTGTGTGGGGAATGACAGCAAACCAACAACCGCATAACAAAACTTTTTCCACATCACTGAGCTTTCTTGAGGGTGCCACGTGCCTTCCAGGCATTGATCAATTTCTGGGAGAACACAAGTGAAAAGGCATGGATCTGGAGGGCAATTGCTAGGAAGACGTACCATAGGAGCCCATATGGATATCCCTGCAGAAAAATCAAAATACAAATCAGGCTCTATGGAGAGGCCCAAATTCACAGCTCATGAAGGCCTATGTTACAGCCAATGATAAAAAAAATGCCTAAGTCTATGAGTGTTAGATCAACAGACCTAGGACAGCCCTATTCCAACAAGTGAATTTTACCTGCCATATCTGGATCCCTTCTGTTGACCCAGTTGAGACATACAGGAGGACATCATTGAAGTACCACAGTATAGCAAAGAGCACCATTCCAAGACCAAACACCACTATGCCACCCTGGAAAATCTGCAATCCATATTCTCACCATTATAATTTGAATAAAACCAAACTCAAGACCAAGTACAAGAAAACCATAAGTCCTTTACAGACTCATCTTAAATACAATACTGGTTTAAGGTAATGCTATTGCCTAATTAGGCTTATAAAGGGTGTCCCAACAAGAGCGCAAGATTTAATTTTGTAATAAAACGCATCATTTATTCAAAAAGTGCTGATATTTTTATTTCAGTATAAAGCACACACACTGCGATTAATTGTGGAACACAATATAAAGTGCTGATATTTTTATTTCAGTATAAACCGCACACACTGCAATTAATTGTGGAACACAATATCCGACAAATGTCCCCCACGACTCTGCTGGCACACTCTTGCTCTTTTGACGAAATTCTCGATGACATTTCCGCACAATTGCGGCTCAATTTACGTACGTAATTACGTACGCCATTTCGAAAATGAGGCCGGAAATGCAGTAACAGTGAATGGCGTACGTTACCGCAACATGATAACGGAGTTTTTGTGGCCTCAATTGGACGGTATGGATCTGGAAGACATGTGGTTCCAGCAGGACGGCGCAACCTGTCACACTGCGCGCGAAACAACTGAGTTATTGCGCGAAAATTTTACTGGCCGTGTCATCTCACGCGATGGCGACCAGAATCGGCCACCGAGGTCGTGCGATTTGACACCGTGCGACTTCTTTCTTTGGGGGTTTGTGAAATCTCGTGTCTATGCCAACAAACCAAAACAATAGTATGGATCTGGAAGACATGTGGTTCCAGCAGGACGGCGCAACCTGTCACACTGCGCGCGAAACAACTGAGTTGTTGCGAGAAAAATTTCCTGGCCGTGTCATCTCACGCAATGGCGACCAGAATTGGCCACCGAGTCGTGCGATTTGACACCGTGCGACTTCTTTCTTTGGGGGTTTGTGAAATCTCGTGTCTATGCCAACAAACCACAAACAATTCATGAGCTCAAGGCGGAGATTCGACGTGTCATTGGAGAAATTGAGCCGCAATTATGCGGAAATGTCATCGAGAATTTCGTCAAAAGAGCAAGAGTGTGCCAGCAGAGTCGCGGGGGACATTTGTCGGATATTGTGTTCCACAATTAATCGCAGTGTGTGTGCTTTATACTGAAATAAAAATATCAGCACTTTTTGAATAAATGATGCGTTTTATTACAAAATTAAATCTTGCGCTCTTGTTGGGACACCCTTTACATGAGGGGTGGCAAGAGAAGGAAAGGCCTTTACATAAGGGCAGATCACTCAACTTTTGTGCTTCTAGCTTACCCTCATTGAGCGGATGTTGTTCTTGCTATTCCCATGATTTCCCCAGTAGATGAACAGAAAGCTCACTGCCCATAGATACTCCCATGCCAAGGGCTGTCATAGAGACAAATTATCAGAATCTAGCCAAACCTGTTACCCTATATTTATCATAATTCTAAGCCTAATTAGTGTGCCCCCACCCTTGCCTACTGCATTGATGTTGTTTTTATAAAGATAATGAAGTATGCCAACACCGGCACCCACTCTTTTTTCATATTACCAAGACTGAAATACATAGGCTTCTTATTTGCTATTAAAGAGGCAACATAATAAAGCTGACCAAACTAAGAAAACTCAGAAGATGCTTCTTGAGAAGCACAACTTCATACAGAGCTTAGTTATGCTATCATGAGAGAATAAATATGAAATTACAGCATTGGACCCTGCCTTTCTGGGTTACAAGTTCATGCTCCCTCACTTGCAAATGCCTGGATTCCCTGCCATATATGGACAGGCTCCTATGTTGATTGCATCCAGTACTGTGTATAATCCTTCACTTCATCATTTCTACAAGGACTACATTAGCTACAACTGATGCTCACCTATATTCCTATGTGCTGAATAAAATCATGAAGAGCTGTGGCTTTGAAGACAAGATGTGGGTACGAGAGATAGGTGCCATTCACCTTTACATTTGCATGATATTGCTAGTGAACTCAGCTACATCATTTTGAGGCTGGATTAAAGAAAGGCAACTACCCAATTATTTCCAACAACAAGTTGTCCAAGACCATGAATGGTTTCCCCTCCCACTTCAATCATTTGGTAGTTCAAGTGCTATTCCCAAGAGTAACTGTTACAGGAATAAGTAGAGCTGAGGAGCATCTCCCATAAGTACTGAAGCTGGGAAATAGGCCAGTTGCAAAGAGTAAATCCAGACCTCTACGAGAAAGGAACCATTTTCAAATTCCCCAACTCATTTGTTTGCCAGATGTGATTTGCTGCATTTTCTCAGATCATGTTTACCATCTCCCAGTCAGAGTATCAAGTCACTGTGAGCAATTGGCTGGTTTCACCTGATTTCCACCACGTGCCACCTGTGCCCCGGTGGAAACCAGGAGAGCACTTTGAGAAGTTTCTTTTCTTTTATATTCGAATACCAACCATAGGCAGATAGGATTATCAACAATGAGACATGCACAAGGTACAGAATGTTTGTATTACTATATTGTATTACTTGTATTACTGCATTACAAAAATTGTATTCCTTTTTGAATTTTTACTTCACTTCAAATGCAGTAGAATACAGATTGCCTGCACACAATATATGGCAGGATTGAGTGGAAATATAATTTCAAGTAAATGTCATCCTGATTTTTCCCCTCTTATTCTCTTTTCTAGTTTGAATAAACATAATTTTTGTCTGAGGACAAAAATGGAAAATTTTTACTAATTCTTGCCCTAAATTTTATCAATGAAATCATCATTGGTTGTGCAACATAAGGAAAAGCCAATATTAAAAAAATGTAAGCCACAACTTGGCTCAAATCTCTAGTCATTAAAAACTCTAAACTCAAAGCCCTCTATGCACTTGCCTAAGCCCACAGGACATGAACCCTCTTTTTGAAATGGTGCTGAAAGCATAATACATATACCTCCAAATTCAGTATTCCAAGTAGGCCTACACATGTCCTGGTTCGGCATGGTAACGCTCCCAATTTGCACAGGGTGCAGCAGCTCTTGTAGTGATAGGCCCATGGCAATTTTACGTTGAAACCAAGCCCAGATGATCCTTAAAATTAAATTACCCAAGATGATGGTATCTGAAGCTAATAGGAGAAACGCACCTTTGGAAGAACTAAGACTTCTATCTCCCAGATGAAGACATCCAACCTATCCAAGATGTCAGCAGATAATTTGGCTATCATCACAAAAAAGAGGAGAACATGCACACCAAAACATGCTCGTAATCTCCCCTTGTTCGTCGCGCTATAGGGGGATAAAAATGAATAGCATCAGATTTCGCAGGGCGGAATGGACTAATTCCGTTATTGCCTCACCTGACTTTGTAGTGACTTGCTACGGTTTCGCGGTGCAAGAAATCCTTTCCATCCGTTCCAGTGACGATGGGACCGTCTCTGCTTGCCATATCACGATGAAAACATCCTACGGGTAAAGTCCCAGAATCACCGAAAATTTCGGACACAGCCGAAGAAACGCGAAAGAGAGGAGTGGACTGCCAGCACAGCCTGTTCCATCTCACCCGGTGGCTGCTCCCATGTTATTCTCACCTGTCCTTGGCTCATGTTGCCCAATATTATATTCTCACTGCAAATAATATCGATCATCAATTACGTTTAATCTAAATGTAATTGTATTATTAATTTTTCTATTTGTTGAACTAAAGCTGTTTTCTTTATCATCGTGAAGCATCACATATTCTTTTGAGAGTTCATAGCCTGAATATAGTTTGTCTGTCCCCCCGACAGATCATGCATCTCTCCCTCTCCAGTCCAATCCAGTAGAAGTCACCATGTGACAAGTGCATTGTGCACCAAAGTGTGAAATTCCCAACAGTTGACTTTCAGTCTTTGAAGAGTGGGTTGAATATGTTAGTTTCACATGTTTCCTGCCGTGTGAGACGCCTACTCCCGTTGTTTCGCCATGCTAGGGGTGGGTAGTCATTTTTGTTTTTCTCTTTGCCCTTCAACTACGACATCGTTCACGTTAGGCTTAGTGATTATGTCGGAGTGTTCTTTTACTTTGTGGAGCTCAAGGCTTATCAGCTAAGCCAAGGGCCGGATTAAGGTTATGAGGGGCCTAAGGCTATAGCCTTATTAGCCTGTGGGTTAATTCGGCCCTGGCTAAGCCCAACAGGCACAAGTTAAACTCAGAAAAGAAACCAATTGCATGGAAACGGCCATCCATTTAGCCAGGTTTCCTGCAAACAGGTCATGGTGATTGAATGTAGTGGCATCCTGGTGAGGTCATACATTGTCTGTAGTTTTTGAAGGAGTCTTTGCATGTTTGCATTGAGAAGCATGGGAAGTGGAAGTCTTGATGTCACATTCACTGAGACAATGGGAAAATCTTACATGTTACCCTTGTCACCTTTTCCTCTGTATACTACATTCAACCATCAGCTTGCATTTTATTTGATGTGATTCAACTGATTCCTTGTTGAACTCTTTGGAGTTCAGCTGTGTCAGTTGGCCTAAATCTGTTTAACCTTTTCCATTCCAGAATAATTTATTTGCTCTGGGGAAGAAACATTATTTTGAACTATATTTAACAAGTAATAAAATAATAAAATAGTAACCAACTCTTAAATGTACTAGAATAACTTACTCTGATGCCAAAAGAAGTCGTAGGCTTAAAGCAGTGCCTTCATATACATAATTTTGCCATGATGTCATGTGGCATCATTGGGCTGGAAAGGGTCTAGAGAAAAGATTTTTGTCTGTTACCAAAAGGAGCCACGTCATCCTTTGTGAATGGTTTATTCAAAGTATTTCATGATTAATGGAATAAAAAGTTTTCATGAAAAGGTGAATCATTGTAAGAAGATATCTATTGAATAATTGGCATTTTTAAAATTCTATCTTTATGTATGCAATTTTGATAGTGATAAGATCATAGTAATATATTTTTCCTATTAAAAACTATTTTTTCATGAAAGAGAAATTGCTTTTGAAGAAGGAATATGATGTGCGAAATGCTCCAGAAGTTTATCAGAACTTGAGCAGATACTAATTCAAATATCTGCTCACAAGTGACAATAATTGTTTTGGGGTATTTGTTTTGAAGTTAATCATATATTTTTTTCATATATTTTTTTCTTAACCTTTTTTTTTATTTTTAACATTGGTCAATGGGTGCCTACAGCAGCTATATAAAAAATATTTTTAAAAATACCAATAGGGCAATTTCAATATAAAAAAAACTGTCTCTATTGTCATACGCCTGGAGTATACATACAGAGGCAAAAGCGATAGAATATAGGAATTTTGGGAGAAATTAATTTCTTTTTTGACAAATCTTTCATTAATGCTCACACCTCTCAACATCTCCTGTGTTGAACTTTGCAGTTGTGTGGACACTTGGGCCATAAATGCTGTTTGGCTGGCTTTTCCTGTTGCCATCCAGTTTGTTTTGACATTGAGAACACTGCCAGTTGCCTGAAATTTCACAATCAAATCTGAGCAGTGGATTGACAGTCTTGGCATATTTGGGTGTCTTTCATGGTAATCATGTTAGTTTATCATAAACTGTTCTCTGTTTCTTGTGTAAATCATCACCAACTCCACTCATTTTTCAGTTTAATACACCATTACTTTATCTCACAACACTCAGTCAAAAGTCACTTTCAAATGTCTGTCAAATTTAGGCAAAATTGTGCAAAACTCAAGCATGAAGGTCACCAACATGAACAGCAATAGAAATGACACATCATCACTGTCTTATTTGCTCTGCGTGGGGAACAGTTGTTCATTTGCAGCCAATTTCAGTGGACATGGCAGGAGCACACTTCACCGGACTTAAATTATTGTATGCCAAATTGATGAAGAAGAGGTATGGGAATGTGCTGCCATCTAGCATTCACTTTGAAAATAAATTCTCCCAAAATTCCTGTTCCCTCACTTTTGCCCCACCCTACATATGGTACTACAGAGGGCTTTTTAAACATTTTTTACACTGATGAGCAAGTCTTAACAACAGGCTTACAGCTGGTTCAAGAAAAATGTCGAAGAATCCATTCAGGTATCAACCCAAGTGAACTAGCATTCCTCAGCATATTGATTTCTAAGAATCTTCTATGTGAGTCTAGGCTAAGTTGCGCTGTTGACTGTATTTAACATAATATTGCTTAAAACTTACTTTATTTTTTCTTGAAGTTGGGGAACTATGGTGTTCAACCCAGGCTGATATATTGGAACAGGGAGCATTTCCAGAAGTGACAACAGGCAACCAGTCTTCAAAACCAACTTCGTTGGAAAGAAAACCTTCTCCAGCTGAGTATCGCTTCATATTGCCAGAGTTCCTGCCAGACCCAAAGGTGGAGTGGCGGAACAAAATTCGTGAAAAGCTGGAGCGGGCAGACATGCTCAAGAGAAGGAAGATTATTGACATTCCTGAGTTTTATGTTGGTCAGTATATATTTTCTAGAATTTCCTACTGTTTTACAGTCATTGCAGATGAAATTGTGAGGTTGCACAGAATCATTTTAGGGACAATTTTTCCTGCTAAGTTGCATTATATTATGCCTGTAAATGTTTTACATTCTCCCTGATAATGTTTTCTGTTTCAGGAAGCATTCTGGCTGTGACTGTATCTGACCCCCATGCTCCAGGGAAGATGAGCCGATTTTTGGGACTTTGCACGGAGAGGGGAGGCTGTGGCTTGCGGGCCTATTTTGTCCTTCGAAATGTCATTGATGGCCAAGGTATGTATCCCAGATTATTGCATGAATGCAGGGTTCTAGTCAGGAAATTTTAGAGACTGGATGGACATACATGGATTACTCTGATGCAACACATCCTTGCCAGAAGAAACTGAAAGTTCATGCTAAAAAAGTTCATTTTCTAATCAAAACAATGTTGTATTTAGGTATGTCAGTTTTACTTTTCCGGAATTGTTTACTGCATTTAAAGGATGACTGAAAAATTTTCAGAATGGTTACCATTTGGCTTTTGACAGCATGTATGCTATTGATGCAATAGATATGATCCTTCTTTTCTAAGGGCTCGCATGATATATGGATGCATCAAAACCCATGCCATCGACAAATCATGAATGGTTTCATCTGGGGTTTTAGTGCATGGATAAAGTTAGAATGGGATGACCAGATGTTTGAAACTTTGAAGATGTAAATGGATGAGGTGGGGGGCAGAAAAAAGGGGGAGAATTTAAAAGAAAGATGGGGAAGACTAGGTTTTATTATTAAACTTAGGGTGCAGACTTTTTATTTCATGAATTGTCTTCACCATCTTTTTCTTTTTGTGGCAATGTAGGAGGGTGCACATAAGTACATACTGATACTTCCTATTCTTCAGCATCGCATGCTCTAAAGCAGGGGTGCCCAAAGTGGATGTTCTCTAAGACACTTTTTGTGCTGGATGCATCCCGCGGGCGCACTTTGGGCACCTCTGCTCTAAAGCAATGGTTCCCAGACTTCTTTGAATTGCAACCCTCTTGCTGACATACAGAAAATTTTGCAACCCACCAGAATCCAGAATGAGGTATTTTCTAAGTAATTATGACATGAAGAAAACTGATTGACCTTTTCTGCAGGGCAAATTTTATCCTGAGTGAATGCAGATGTAGTGATTTTTTATGCTGGGAAAATGTACACGACCCACAGCTTGGGAAAAGTTGCTTTAAAGGATGTATTTTCTGGTGAAGCTTTGCATCAACATTTTGTCTTACCCACAGGACTGGCATTCAGCCATACCTGAATCCTTTCCTATAGGACTGGCATCATGCTGGTGACTGGTATGCTTCTTTTAGCACATTCAGACCTGGATGGAAATTCACCAGACTGCCCCTGCAGCCTGGCCATTTTTCCCAAAGTGTTGCAATTTGCTCTGATCTTTAAAAATGTATATTTCGGAAACTATAAGAGTAGTCATGCTCAAATTTGCACAGGGTGTAGTTCATACTTCTAGTATTCCTGCAGTATGTGGTACCTGGTGAGACAATCGCCCTTATATTTGGGGATCTTGCAGGAAGAGCAGATGTATCTGGTTTGTCCTTTTTTGTTGTGTCTTGGGCACACCCTGCAGTACCTAAGTGGGTACTTCTGACACTTTGTGGGTGAATATCTTAAGTCGAGGAGCCACATCATTCACAAGTTTCACAAATGGCTATGCAGGAATATTTACGCTATCATCACTGTCACTTGCCCTGTCACTCTGTTGTGATGTGCTAGCAGAAGGCTGAGTTGTGGCAGTAGTTTTGCATCTTTTTGCTGCAGGTTCAGGCTCACTGTCACTCTCACTATTATCACGAAGATCTCTGTCACTGAATTCATCGTCAACATCATAATTGGAATCACTGTCTGCAAGAATTTCATTAATTTCTTCTTCATCACACGAAGTACACACGTCTCCTGCGGGCTGGAATCTTGGTTTTGTCTGAAAAAAATTCCTATTATTAACAATGCTTAGAATCTTTAAAATATTGATATTCCAGTGAGATTTTTTTTTTGCAAGTTGTCAAGACTGTCTTCTACTACTTAATCCCTTCATAGCCGAATTAAGAAAACGTATAACTAATAAATTTTTCCACCGCGTTTTCTATTGAACAGCCCTAGCTAAAGATGGAGCTTGCAGAAAATGTCAAATATTTACTCATATATTCAAAAACTGAATTTTTTTATTACAAAGATCATTAACCAAAAATATTGAATAACAGGCCATTGTTCGCACATGGGGAGCCCCTAAAACTTGGCCTTTGTCCCTTTTATCTGTCCATTCTTGCAGCATGCAGGCATGTATTTCCCTTTTCCAGAAAAAAAAAGGAAAAAAAAATTCTATTTTTTCATCCAAAATTCCATTTAAAAAAAAATCAAACCTATCAGGTCACATCTTTTCTTTTTGATTCAGCTTGCCTGAACTACAACCTATTTGAACGAATGATGCATCACTGAAGAGTCCTTTTTGAGAGCTATTAAGTGGTACCATATAAAAGAGGTTTTGTTCAATGGTAACTGCAAGAGCAGTCTCAAAAGATATGATCCTTACAATGATCATATGCCATGAAAGGGTTAAAAGCAGAGCAAATGACATCTACTGTGTTTACATTGAACCATATGACCAAATGGGAACTTCTGGATGAATGATAAACTTTATTCTTCTATTTGGGAAACGAAGAGTGGTGGGAAATTTGGGGTACTCCTTCTCTTGTTGGATAATGAACAGAAAATCCTCCCCACTCCACCTTACCTTGTCACACTCTATGGTCCCTTTTTGAGAAGGTGAATTTATGTTTTTCAGTGTCTGACTGCTCAGAGATATGGTTTAATTCCCTGTCATTCATGGTGTGGGCTGATGTATGTATGTGCTTAACTGGCAAGAGCAAATGCCCTCTCCATCAAAAAACCATTACCCTTAAATGGTAGTATGCATATCACACTAGTTATACATAAGTTGCCATTGGTTGAGGAAATGGCAATAGAAGTAAGTGCATGCTCAAGGACAGCTCAATGTTTAAAAGGAAATTTTTTTAATTGGGCAGAGAATTGAAAGGTGTATTTGTATCATTGGGGAAACAAATCCAGTTTGGCAAGAATCTTCCATGAATATCCTTTCACATTGGTTTACATGATATTTCAAATTAGGCCTATTAAAAACTGGTTTGTTGATGTCATTCTATTCTAAGTGAAAACATTGAAAGTCATGGTGAACATGCAATCTGCATGATGCTCCTCACTAGCTGTCACTTTGATGCATTCCAACTTGACTGAGTGCTGACAACAATCAGTCTCAATATTTAAAAATATATTGTGTGAGAACTCTTATTACAATTTTTTAAGATTGCTTTTTGTTCTAGTCATATTTATAATAATTTTTTTTTTTTCCAGACAAAACACCTAACTCTATCATTGGAGATTTCCTCTGTATAAATATATAAGGTTTGCACCCAATTTGTATGAGATATGTTTACCATGAAACTGGCAAACTTTCAATTGAGAAATACTGGACAATCATAATAACTTATAGTATGTGTGATTTATTGGAAAGCAGTTTCATCACAGATTGCTTGCCACCTGTACTCAGTCATATGGAAGTACTATGGGCATTTGAAGCACTGCACAGTGGGCCAGAATGGCAAATTTGAATATCGCTTTCATAACATGTTTAGCTAGATTCAAATGATTTTCTGGTTGTTCCAAGCAAATTTTAAAGACCCAAACAACTCATGGAGCTTGTTTTGATTGCTTTTGCAATCAAGATTCCTGCATCCCTCATCCAGTTGTAGATATCTCCTTGCCGTAGTGGTGGTCCTTGGGAGGGAGTGAGAATGTAAAAATCTCAGATAAATAGACATATCAGTTTCGCTTATATCAGAAGAATCTGCAACAATCTGCAAGAAACTCTACTGGCTTGCTAGTGATAGTGAGTAAGCCCTATGCACTATCCTTGTTTGAAAACTGAATTCTGTTGAATGACTTAGCAATTTAAACTATCAGTAATTTTATGCTGGAAAAATGAGAGGTTTTACTCAAGCTAGCTACTAGCTTATTTTTCCTGCTAGTGGAAGGAAGGATGGATGGAAGGATCATAATAATATGATAACTGTGGCAAGGTAGCAAGTTTATCATTATGATAACATCCTTTTTTTGTGGTTTCATAATACCAATTTCAACTTACCAGCAGCTTCAGCCATCTTGTTCAGTGACTTCACTAAAATGTGACATCAACTGTCAAAAAGTACACAGACATTTTCTTTACTAGAGCACCATCCGGTGATGAAAATATGTATCACCGTAATAAGTCATTGCCTTGTCAATCATTTTCCATCAATGACGGTCACTATCTCTGATTCATGGGATGAAAATCATTTTTTCTCATTGCTGACCTACTGTGCATTGGGAGAAATTTTTTTTAAATTGGTGGGGAAACATTGAGCTTGTATGGCATTGGATGGAGATAATAAACAAATGAACTTGGATCCCCTTTTCTTTGTCAGACATTGAGCAGTTTCTGAATGTTACTTGCATATGCAGTGGCTTTCTTTGCAACAAATGTATATTTGCCCGGAGCTGTTGAGTATTTTCTGAAATATTCCATTTTTCTTGAAGGAAATCATGCCATCCTCTTTTGGAAACATGGAAGAACTGGTTGATTTTAAAATTCCAACATCAGTAATACTTCTTTGCATTTGTATTTTGCTGTTCCCTTACTCATTAGAAATTACTTATTTTACTGAAACCTGAAGCCAATGCTCTATGCTGTGGGTCTTCTATAGGTGTGGAAGTCATGTATGAGATGTATAACCCCACCATCCAGTCAGTTGAGGTTATCCGACTTGAAAAGCGACTGGATGAGAACCTCAGATACTTGCGTGATTGCCCATCTGAATTTAGCACCTTCCCTCAGGACATGGAACATGAGATTCTTCCTCCTGGCTCTACTGTCCCCCTCAATACCTTGAAGGTGGGTTGAAGTCATCATTATCCAACTGATTCTCTTGAGATAAAAGGGCTTAAATTAAAATAATTTTCATTGTACAGGGTTGCCTGAAAGTTGCATTACCCCATCCCAGTAAAGCAATAGTTTTTAAACTCTTTTAATGTACAGGATTTACTGTGCAGTACTTACAATAATTAATCAGTCATTGTATCTGCATGAGCTCCATCATTGTCCTTACACCACTGAATTCGTCACCAAGCCCTCTTAGACATCTTGTGTAGCATTTGTGGAGTCACTTGTGCGAAAGTGGCCATTGCTGCAACATGCAATTCTTCATTCGTCCTATACTTTCTTCTTGATGCAGCCCCACAAGGAGCTGTCTGGAGTCATTAGATCTGGACTACGTGGTGGCCACGATAGAGAAGCTGGTGATGTTGGTGATCCGCATCCAATCCATTGTAGAGGGAACATTTCATTGAGATAGTCCTGAACATGCAGTACTAAATGCGTGGGTGTGCTGTATTGTTGTAGCCAGACACTTTCAGTTATTCCCGCAGTAACAAGTTGTGGTATTGGCCAGTTTCTTAACATATGCTTGTAAGTTACATTGTTTACTGGTCCATCCAAAAAAATAGGCACCAAATAAATGTCTTGAGGTCATTCCTGCCATATCATCATGTGTGGAAGGTTCTGCTGCATGTTCAGGGCCATCTCAATGAAACATTTCCTCAATGATGGATTGTATGCGGATCACCATCATTACCAGCTCCTCTGTTGTGGCCAACATGTAGTCCAGATCTAATGACTCCAAACAGCTCTTTGTGGGGTTGCATTGAGGAGAAAGTATCAGCAAACTGGTATGGGGCGATTGAAGAATTGCGTGCTGCAGTGGTAGCCACTTTCACACAAGTGACTCCACAAATGCTATGCAAGGTGTCTAAGAGGGCTTGGTGACGAATTCAGTGATGCAAGGACAATGATGGAGCTCATGCAGATACAATGACTGATTAATTATTGTAAGTACTGCACAGTAAATCCTGTACATTAAAAGAGTTTAAGAACAATTGCCTTACTGGGGCAGGGCAAAGCAACTTTCAGGCCATTCTGAAGAAGAGAATAAATACTATGGAAAGAATGAATCAACAAATTTGACCTGCCTCCTATTGAATTGTAGCTATAACCAGAATACTGCCAATGAATGCATGAGACTATAGTGTGTATGTAATAGTGTGTGTACAGGCTTAGATGGTAGATTTCAACAAATCACTTGAGTAGTTATGATTGGCTGACAAATGTGAGTGCTATGATGGGGCCACTGATTATATCATTGCATTCAGTCGCATGACTTGCTGCAGGCCCACCCACTCTTTCATGCTATTATTGATGCTCTTGCAGGAAAGTGTGTCTGGAAGTGTATTATTTTTTTAAATCCAAAAGACAAGTCATTTGAGCTCTTTGTTGGTATACCATGTTAAAATACTTGTCTTCAGATTGGAGTCCTTTCATACAGGTTCCCCTGACAGCAAGGACCTGGTCTCAGAAGTGGCAGTACTGGAATCTGAAGGGTGTGGAGCCCCATACAATGCAACTGGAATACTGGCAGAAGAAGAAATATATCAAGACTCAGTTGTCTGGCAATGTACCAAAACTTGCTCCATGGCACAAATATGAACTCATGGAGGAGTACCGCTCCTCCATCCCAGAAGAGGAACAAGTGGAAATGTATTCAGAAGTATTGACTGAGCTGGGAGATAGGCTCATGAAGGAGGGACGAACGCGCCGACGTCGTACTCTTGTCCGACCAAGAAAAACTGCTTGACATCATTGGTGGGAGTCTGTGCGCTGGTTGTATGTGTATTAAAGACATTTTCTCATGCATTTGTGGAGATGCTTTAAATGCAGGGGAAAAATTTAAAATAGAGTCTAGGAACTGGGAATTTAGATAGGGCAATATAATATGACAATAGAAAATAAAATAGAGACATCTATGCCCCTTGTAGGCCACTGTTGGCAGATTAACTTATGTCAAAGTTGTTGATCTCTAGCCTCCTTCCCCCTTATTGGGATTCTGACAGTTTTCTTGTATTCAGGGAATAAGCTTTCTCATGTGAGAAAGCTTATCGACATACTCCCTGGAGTACTGGTACCCCTTCTGCTTGATGTGAATAAAACTGCCTTTGATGGCAGTAAAACTGGACCCTCTATTTTTTTAAGGGGAGAAAAAAAAAAAGAAATACAGTCAACTCTCGTTTATCCGGACGATTTTTTGGCCCCAATGGAAAACCCATAAAATCAATGTTAAAATTCTCTGTTTAATCTGGACACCTTTGTTCTGGATCTCCCATTTATCTGGCCATTATCACTCTCATTAATCTGGCTTTTGTAGCAAAGGAGATGGATTATGACAGAAAAAAGGGTTTCTTGTCATTTTCCCATGTCTCCACATCCCCTCATCCTAGGATTGAGAAAAGAAAATCTATCTACTTCGATCTAATCTTTTCCTGGAATCAGGAAAGCTCTTTACTCTCCTACTTTCACTCCCTGCAGTCACCTCCCTATTCTTCAGTTAGTTTATCCACTTCAGTTACCTCCCTCATCTCCTGTCAGCATCATCCATCCATTTCATCAGAACCTAGAGTTTTTTTCCTCCCTTCATCATGTGTAAGCATCCATGGTGTGATCTGACATGGGAAGAGATGTTGGCAGTTTTGAAACAATTGGGTGAAAACAAGTTGATATAGCACGTGATTTGCTTATTCCAACTTTGACAGTCAGATATATGATATATAGAAGTGCTGTGATGAACTTGAACAGGGTGCTGTCATAGTTGGTGTCCCTCTCGCAGAGACGAATGCGAAGCGCATGCTTTGATGATGCACTAGTCAGAGCAAAAAAAATTAGGGATTTTTTTTTATGTGACTGATTGAAAGAACAGAGTCCAAGTTTTCCTATTCCCATGCAAACAATGAAGACCTTCTTTGCACATATTAGGCACAGTTTTCTTCTCTAGGAAAAAAGAAGAAAAATGAATGGTCACTCAAGCAGGTACTCGATAATCCAGACAAAATCACCAGTCCCCTTGAGTCCAGATTAATGAGAGTTGACTGCATAGGCTGGCTAAAAATGTCCTACTCCTAATTTGATGATTTATCAAACTGGCTGCCCTAAAACTTGAACTAAAGTACTTTAACATCATTAGCCATGGTGCACATATCCTAAATCCTAAATTTTATAAATGACTTTCTAGCTTGGCTGCCAAGTAGCATGGTTGCTGTGGCTGTGCCATCACGGTACATAATGGCCAAAGGAATTGGAAAATGTGTGATAATTTTCAAAGAAAGCTGATTGTGGAACTGTTCTACAGGTGGATTCATGAAAATCATATTGCAAGTCTTAGTCTTATATGTGGGCATTACTGCTTGACTGCCAAATTAAAATGTCTATATTAACTTATATTTATCATATAGGCATTACTAAGTGCTGATACCAAATTAGTTCAAGGAATCTTGTTCTTTGGTTAATAAGTTTAGTCCATACATTCTGTAGCTGTTTACTCTTGTCTTATTTCAGGTTTGCTATTTTTATTGTTATCTCCATTGGCAATCTTGAAAGAAAATAGCGGCATGAAGCATATTCCATTCAGTGAGTTTTTTCTTCAAGTGCTCCAGGTAAACTCATGGTCACATCTGTATTGCACATGAACTTCATACAATACCAGTGTTATCATTTGTGTCAATTTTTTTTTACCACTGCATGTTGGATTACTTTATTCATTTTAGCTGGTGAAGTCATATTTGAGATTCACTTCCACAGAAAAATAATACCACTGAAGTTGGATAGTTTTGTGACTGTACCTCCAAATGATGTATGTTGGATCTTCCTGGCATATTCTTTTTATTTCTCACATTTCCTATTTATGAGTAAAACAAAAAAAAAAGACCAAAAACTTTTTACAATTTTGTCTCTGCACTCACTGGCACTATTTTTACAAAACTTGATCTGTGCAAAGATGTGTGTTCCCAAGGTATAGGGTGTGGCATAAGTACCTGATGGTTTTTTAATTGTAATAACAAGTGACTGATAGCAGATACATTTTATAGTGATATACTTTTTAATTCTGCATACATTGGAGAATACAGTTATCCATACCTCAAATTTTTTATGAAGATGATGCCTGCAGATGGGCTCCTCCACAATCAATTCTTTCTCCTGCGTGTGTAGACATCGATGCCATGACTCAATGCAGTAAGTCATTGGGGATGTTTCAAATCTCCTGGTGAATAATTTCCTTGAAATTTTCAATACTGGCAGGACGTGACACATACACCTTGCTCTTTAAATAGCCCCACAAGAAAAAATCAGGTGCTGCCAGGTCTGGTGAGGGGGTAGGCCAGTTCAGGTCCCCAAAGCGACAAGTAAGGCACTTGCCTATCACACACGCAGGAGAATGCGATGGAATCCATCTGCAGGATGTCATCTTAATAAAAAAAATTGGAGGCATGGAAAACTGTATTCTCCAATGTATGTAGATTTAAAAATTATATCACTATGAAGTGTATCTGCTATCAGCCATTTGTTATTACAATTAAAAAAACCGTAAGGTATTTATGCCCCACCCTTTACTTTAAAAATTTAATCTAAATTGATATGCCAAAGCAAGACCTTGAATAACTATTAAAAATAAATTGGAAATTGAGAATGGATGGGATTTAAGTCCTTTTGGAGTGCCTTGACTTCACCTTCCTCATGCTCTAATGAAGACAAGGGAAACAATTTGAATAAAATTTTAGTTAACTCTGTCTTTTGGTACTTATGTATTCATCTATCTTGAATTGGAATAAAGCTCATCAAAACAATCAGCAAGAAAAGGCCCACCTAAAAATAAATGCCAATGGAAATGTGGCCTGGATAATATGCAAGCAGAGCATTTGAGCTACTCTTCCACTCCACTGCAAGCATAAGCTCTTGTCCATTTTCACTCTTCAACTTCATATTAAGCATTGCTCATTGTCTTGCCTTTGAACAATGAATCTCAAAGAAAATGTTGAAGATGTGGTAGACACATATCAATGCTCTGTGAGAGTTCCATGAAAATAGCACCAGTGCCACCAGAGTTAGTGGGTTTTGTTTTAGTATTGACAGAATTTCTGGTTGTCTAGATGTCTAAAGGGCATCTTATCTCTTTGACAGATGCAGAATGGTTGAAGAGTGTTCACGTTCACTTCCCCTCAGTGCGAGACAGTGCAGTGGAACTGTCTCGTCGAAGAATGTTCTCAGCTGAATATGAAGTGGCTTGGTTGCTCAAAGCTATCACCTTTATTGACCTCACCACTCTCTCAGGCTAGTTCATATACAACAGGGGTTACCAACCATGGGTTGCAAGCTCTCTTAATGGATGCATTAGAAATATCACCCTTGGATGATTAGTCTTACTGCCACATATTTTAGAAGCTAAATTTTGCTTTTAAAAATGTTTGATAGACCCTGAGGACCTTTCTGTCCTATCATAGGCATTCTATAGCTTGTATGCCAAAGATTGATAACCTCTGATCACAAAAGTACCTGTGGATTTCTGAAGATGGACCAGTGGATATGCAGAATGGCATGTATTCAGGTTTCATCCTCCACCTTGCATCATGATCGGTTGTATAAGATCTGATTGTCAGCCTAATGCCAAATACATCATCTGCATGAGATACTCATTTAGGTAATCAGAGGGGAAAAAAAGAATGGGAAAGGGAAGTTCATGATCATGGAAAGCTGGATGGCATTTTAAGGGATGGCAAAGAAATAAGGTTCACTTTTGTTTTTATTGCTTTACACAATAACTAAATAAGACACGAACCCTAAATGTCATACGATCATAACACAATATCTAACCTTTAAAATGCATCATTCCACAAGGACATAGATGCCTCGAGGTCTAAATTTTTAAAGTTGGTTTCCAATTGACCCCATGAGGAATGTACACACCTTTGATACTTCTCAGGAGAAGTTCACCAATCTGTTTAAAGGAGTTGAGGTTCTTGGCCTTCTTTTTTTTCTGTATCTTCCAAATGGCTATTTTTGTTCAATGGGTCAGGCCTGAGGGCAGGTGGAAGTATTATTTTTCTTTGATCATAAATTTGATACCCAAGGACTTGAGCCAAACCTGGACTACTTTTGCAGTTTGGAGTCTGGTTGTATTCTGGTTCCCTTTTTATCAAAAGGTACGATGTATGAAGTAGTGTACCTAAACCAAAGTTGAAAGAAGATCCTTCTGCCCATTATTCAAAAATACAAAAAACAAGGAGTGGGTCATCTTCATGGTTGTGGTTCTATGTCATTATGTAAAAGTGGTCCAGATTTGACTGGAATCCAATTATATAGTGACCCAATAAAGTATTGCCCCCCAACTATCCTCAGGCCCAACTCATCAAGGAATTTTTGGACATTTGCAAAGGCAAATGCTAAAAAAAGAAATAAATTGGCCAATGCCTCAAATCCTTCAAACAGTTTTGGTGAAACTTCTCTCAACAAGGAGTGGAGGTGTGTGCAAACCTCAAGGAGTCGCTTCAAAGTTGGCTTTGAAACATTGGACACAAAGGCATCAATGTCCTTTTGAAGTGAAGGTTAGAAGTGGTTTTACGATCAGATAAAATTTGGAGCTTATATCTTTTTTAGTTATTGGGCAAACTTATAAAAACCTAGGTGAACCAAATTTCTTAGCCACCCCTCATGGCTTCTTCATGTTCTTTCTTCCTTTAGCGAGCCTGAAAAGCTGCTAAATAGAACAGTAAGGAATTGTAGGAATGAAACTGAGATGGAAGAAAAATGATAACAAAATGTAGGCCTAGGTATTCACAGTGAAATCTTGGTGTAGGTGGCATTCACATTTCAGAAAAGTACAGTCTAATGAGAGCTGTCATGTCTTCATTGATGTTCTGAATACTGAACTCAAGTAGTATATTTGGTTTAATCAGGCTTAGCTGACTGAGAAAATACCAAAAAACAAATCATGTGTGGGTTCCTATCAAAGTTGATGGAACTCCACAGAGCTTGAAAAATGAAAAGGGAGCAGCCAATGAAACCATGGTCAATTGTTTCATAACTTTATTGCTCCCCAGTTGAATTAGCATTGTACCAGAGATAAGAAGTCACTACTTTGTAAAACTTTCATGGAGTTAATAAACAGTTATCCCAGAAAGAAAAGAAAAACAGGCTCAATGGGACAGGGTTGTTAGGGGTGGGTTGGGATTCAAACCTAGTTATTTTGTGTTTTGGTCTGATCAAAAGTAAAGGAGGACTTTACTCGTGATTTGCTAATGACAGATTTCCTATTGTGCAAAAAATGTAAAGCAATGAAAAGCATACTATTGTACATAAGGATGACAGTAATAGGAAGGTTGAATTTGCAATGTGGAGCATAATACCTTGTCTTCAGATAATAAGTCTTGGGAAGGTTTCTGTATGCCTCACAGTTTACCGTTTGGTCCCAGCAGAATTGCATAGAAGACCTCATTAAGTATTCCATTTTTCAATGATTCATAAACCTGGAATATCCTGAGGTCTTGAACCAGAAATCTAATTTCTAATGTAAAAAATATTCTCACTCCTGACTAGAAATTCAACATGATGACTCTGAAGAGTATTTTTAAAAAAAATTGAAGTTTGACTTTAGGGATGTTACCGATGAGGAATTTTCACTGATATCCGATGTACTGATATTCAAGAGGGATTCGATATAATCGATACCGATAAACCGATAACCATGATGAATGTCTCACGGGAGTCCAGTTTTATTATCCCATGGGACTGGAAGGCATAATGATTGTGCATATTTTAGGCTAACCAATATAGCTTTAGGAAAAGGAAGGGAAATGTGTGTGGAGAGAACATCAACAGTTGGAACAGTGAAGCAGTCAATCTAACGACTCCGTAAAAAAAAAAAAAAAAAAGTTGGAATTTTCTCATTTTTGGGCATCTTTAGTCGAGTATTTTTCGATGTGGCGGAGCACTAAGGGTATCATGGGTAGTGTCTCCAGGAAAGTGAGCCCGAGATCTTTCCAACGATATATAATTTAAACAGAGTCTCGGGAGGTTGTATTAGTTAGGTCTGTCTCTCCATCAAGATCGGTTACTTCTAAGTCTTCAATCATCGCATTGGAAGATTACCTTACGCCAGAAGCAGCGCGTGAGAATCCGGATGTGTCCCTAGCATAAGGTGACCAGATTTCTGTGTCACGAAAGTGGGACGCCCAATGAATACTTCCCCTTGCCTCTCGAAAAAGAATATAAATGCATTTGTTGGACTGACAATTGTATTTATTATTGCCAAACATGAAATAGAGCTCTTATTTAATTGTGTATCCACAGTAACGCAACCAGCCCTAAAGAGGGAGTTTCGGGAAAGTTCGTATAACTTGTCTTTCAAATGTTTCCGGATGCGAGAAGGCGTTATCAAATCACCAGAAGAGGAAAAAGCGAAACGACGTCGAACACGCAAACATAGAAAATGAAAAAATTTTTCATGAAATGGTGGAAACAGAATTTAAACAATAAATAATACAAGCGCATTCGATATTTGAAACATAGCTAAAGATGAACAGAATTAATTTCGGGATTCAGCCCAGATTTTACTGCGCAGGCATGCAACTGGAAATTCGTTAACCTGTACGTTATTCGTGACTTTCATCCGAGTCGTGGTCCTTCCGTTTTCAGAAAAAATGTCAGCAGCGTCACATGTGCAAAAAGCTTCCGTGACATTTTCACTTTACTGCAACAAGCAGGGGTTTTGGCAAGGAGAAGGCCCGGCCTCCTCAAAAATTCTCAGGAGTCACTTTCCCATGCAATTTGAAAACATATATTAAGATATCAAATATCTGAAATAAATCCCTGAGAACTATTAAATTCATTCTCAATCGACGCAAAATGAGTCGAGTCCAGTCTCTGAAAGCTGACTCCTGTCCGGAATCGCGGATGAGAAGTCAGAGCCTGGAGGCTTCCCCTGACTCAGAGACAACTACGAGGTATAAGGGTATCACTTTGTTCATGCAATATGAAAGTAAACGATGGCAGTGAGGCCGGCCTCGCCGTCTGCAGTGCGCACGAGCAGGTGCCTGCTAACAAGAACTTGCATGTTTTTAGGCTCATTACCTGTTCCGTAATCCGAATTCCCATTGCCAATTTATATCTAAGCAGTTGCCATGGATAAAAAAAACATCAAGATATGCTATTCATAATCATGATGTTCCATGATATTCTTGGTTTAGCTCCTAAGCAATATGTTTAGGAGAAGTTCTGAAACTCGCAAGGCAAGAAATTCAACTGTCGTATCATTCTGTCATCGACATTTTCCAAAAGCGGGACATTTGGGTGTCCCGCTTACTTCATCGGGGGACACCGGGACATGTGGTCTGAAAGTGGGACTGTCCTGCCTAAATCGGGACGTCTGGTTACCTTACCCTAGCAGCAATTGGAGAAACCATTCTAAAATGCAAGGTTGCACGGAAAGAGGGCAGATGTATGCCATGGACAGTGAGGAAACAAAAAACTCCTTCACAGTCTCTAGCAAGGCCTCGCAGAGCCTTGATTTGGAGCCTCAGCAACTAGGACCGTCTGTAGCCGAACCAGATCCGCTATTCTCCGCCCGCACGAATTTAGACAACGAATCCAACTCATTGTACAAAGCTCTGAGAGATCATTCTTGGGATATCTTACACGACTGTGTTCAGTCACTCCGTCAAAAATTAACATTTTTGAGGGCGCAACCTTTGGAATTTTTTTTCATTCGTTTCCTCAAAAAAAGGCCCTCATTTAATATATAGCAACCTTTCTAGAGCCCGAGTGAAAGGACCTCTGTGATGGGTACTATGGGAATCACGAGGCGGTGTAGCTTTTTATGAGCTGATTTCTACGGGTTTTTACTCTTTTAAGGTTGATTAAGACAATTTTTTCTCTATGTAGCAGGCAAAAAGTCAAACAAGTAACTTGCTTTATCGATGCAACCGAAAGAGGAGTGCAACTTACCGTAACGAGAGATTAGCTTTTTCCCTTGCCACATAGGAATATTTGACGGTCAAAGTTGTCTTAATTCCACATTTTCGAACTCGACTATGATGCTGAAATCTCGTTCAATTTCAAAGGATGTGCGAATATAATCGATCATCTATCGAAGAGCTTCGTTTCGAACCATTGCACGCCACCGTACGATGAACGGTTTCTGAGATGAAAATTCTGCCGTCCATGGGATTTTCCCGTTTTCCCCTAGAGTTTCAGGGATGATATCTCGCTAACTGCAGATCCAATGGAGCCGAAAAAAAAAAAAAAAAATGCCTCAGCAATCTAACTGACGAAGTGACAAGGTTGACAACTACAAGAGAGGTGTGTGTAAAGGGAAGGAAAAGGATTTCGATATAACCAATCGGATTTTATACGTGTTAGGTTATGCCTATAATGATTGTGCATATTTTCATCCCTATTTGACTTAATTCTCTGGATAGAGTGGAAAGAAAAGAAACTAGTTCTATGAGGCAGGGAGGTGCCTTTCTTTATTTGTTTTCACGTCTGCCCTTTGCCCCCCCCCCTTTCACTTCTTTCTCTCCCTCCCTGGTGACAGGAAAATAAGTATCTGGCTATCTCTCATGAGCCCAGTGCTTTTTTTTTGAGGCAGTGTTAATTACTGATTAGTTGAATTTCAAGCAATTTGAATCTATTAGGCACAAAGTCTAAGCTAGTGTGTTAAAGATACTTGCTGGGCAATTTTTTTCCATTGCTGAATGAGAATCACTGGTAAATTTAGTAACTAACCTATGAGTAGCATTGACATCATTCAACAAACATGATTTTCTTCCTATTGAGCTCATGATTTCATGACTCTGATTATGACCATGAGACCATAAAAGCATGCTGGTTCCCAAACTTTTTAAATGAATGGAGAAACTCAGGTGAAAGCTTCACTTTGTCAAAAAAACATCAGTGGGTTTGAGCTGATACCCTTCCAATTGCCATGAATCCAAATTGCCAGTGTCATAGGAATTCCATGCACTTATTTCAAGAGTTAGACCCTTGAGGTCTTAATTTTTCAAAACTTCTGCTGGGCTCCACCTTCATGCTGCCTTGATTTTGTAGGTGATGACACAAAGACAAACGTGGAACGTTTGTGCTACAAAGCAGCTCAGCCAATTCATGAGGACATCATCAAGAAGCTTGGGATTGAAGAATTAGGGATTCAAGTAGGGTCAGTCTGTGTCTACCCTTCACGTGTCAGAGATGCAAGGGCCTGTCTAGATCGTATTGGAGCATGTCATGTTCCTGTCACTGCAGGTAAGGCTCATGCATGCCACAATCCAGATCCAGTTCCCTTCTCTGCAATTTTTATTTCTTGATTCAGTTAAGAATACTTCTGGGAAGGTGTTTTCCTTTTTCATAGAGGGAGAGCTCAGTCACATTGGCCTAGGTTTATCCGGGTATTGTCATCAGCACTCATCAATCTGGTCTTAAGAGGGCTAGACCATTTTATCAGAATCTGCAATTATCTGAATAATTAAGAATCTTCCCAATTCATTTATCTTTTTTTTTTTTTAGAGAGAGAGAGAGAAGGAAGCTCTTTCCATTTTCCTGCAGTATGCTTTCTTTTTATTTTTCTAACATATTGGCATCATTCTCTCTTCTAGATGTATGCTCATATCGACATTTGTTTTTTTTTCTTTCCTTTCCACATACAAGTGAAAGCAGAAAAATTTGCTCATCTCCTTTCACCCCTTTTGATTTATTATTTATTTAGCTGACCATTTTTAGCAATAAAAATTTCATCTCTGGGCTGGAGTAGTGGACTTAGGTCCAATTGAGCCATGTAGGCAAATAGAGTGAACAGAACACTCAAGTATGTACCACACATGACTTTGTATGTGAGGAGAATGATTGATGACAAGGGATAAATAATTGAACACATGCATGTAGATTGTAGATGTCCATATCCCTCAACCTTGCTCTCCCCTCTATGCCAGTGGAAACATCTGGTGCCACATTTGTATTTCCAGGAAAATATCTCCCTTCAGAATCCCTTAATAACTTTCTTTATGTACCCCTTCCTCAGTCACCTTTATATCATCTTGTCTTCCTGCTTTTTTGTTGTTTCTTCCTATTGTTTCCTTCACCCATCCTTTCTGTTTCTCATATCTCCCTTTTCTTTCCATCTGGGTCATGCCTCCCCAATTGGCCCCACTCTTCTCAGTGCTGATCACCTGGTTACATAACTTTTTTTCAATCCTGATACATTTAAGGTTTTCTGTAAAATGTGGACAGTGTGCACTTGCTGAGTATGCTGTTTATCTTCCCTTAAATGCATTAAGTATGTTTTTTTTCTACTGTGTTTACACCTATGCCCAAGGACTTGACAGAGTTGTGTTTTTCAGAAGGTCTTGGAATTACCATATGCAACAAATCTACTAGGCATCCTGATAAATGTTGAAGAAATGCTTATTGAACTCTATTCAGCTTGCTGGAATGATATGAATGATGTTATTTGCAGTGGCCACAGGGTTTCCAACGGGTCAGTATCCCCTGGAGACGCGGCTGAAGGAGGTGGAATGGGCCGTTAGCCAAGGAGCATCTGAGATTGATATTGTTATCAATCGACAACTGGCTCTTTCCCAAGACTGGCAGGGTATGTTCATAGGCTTGGTCACTGTTGGGTTCTTTCTTCATTGGTACCTTTTGGTCAGTCTCTAAAACCAACATCTGTATGAATGATGTGCATTCATGAATTAAGCATTGTTGATACCTTCAAGATATCTGAATCCTAACAACTCCAGTGTGATTGGTTGCTATCCATTAATGACTTACATGCACTTCATCAATCACTTATGTGAAGGCACTAGGGCAGGGCTTCCCAACCTTTTCCACGCGCGACCCCAAAAATCACTTTCATACTATTCATGATCCCATGCACTGAGTGAAGTTAGACAGGCTCCCCCACCTATGTGCTAAAATCACAAAGAAAAACGTAACTTTGCATTTTAGTTGCCAGTTCGCAACCCCAAATATTATCTTTGTGACCCCAAATGGGATCACGACCCCTGGGGCCGTATTCACAAAAACTTCGTAAGAATGCGATATTCTTACAAACTTCGTACGAACTTCATATCTTTGGTATTCACGAAACTTCGTAGCGATGATAATGAGCCAGCCAATCATAACCGAGCTCAGGAGCTACCAAACCAATCGCTGAGTAGAAAACAACGTGGTTCTCACACTGGCAGCATGACTCATGAGTCCCCATATCATAGGAGCCTTCTCCAAACGTTCTGCGCATTCCGTGCCTTTGTTTTTGCTCTTACAGGAAGTTTTAACACGACTGGAGATCCTATCGAATCTTTGAAAACACCCTAAAAGACGGTACCCAGTGAATCTCAACATAATAAAAACTACCTCAAGGTTTCAGAAATACCCAAGGAAAAGATCTGAATGCATTATCAACATTCGTATCATGGAGAGTAGAGGAGAAAGTGGTCAACGACCGAATTTCACCAATTAGAAAATTGGGATGCTCATTGAAGAAGTCAAGCGAAGGAAGAATGTCTTGCTGAAGAAACTCAGCTGAAGCATTGTAGGAAAAATGAAATTGCAAGAGTAGGATTTAGAGACTGAGGCAGTGAGCTGTCTCTCCTCTGTACGGAGAACTGCTAAAAAAAAGTAAAATCTAATTCATGGACCTGAAGTGACGTGCAAAGGCGAAAGGAGTTTCTCAGGTAGAGTGGCAGGACTGGCGGTAGATCTTTCCCACTGTCCAATCTCTGTCAAAAGATTTTTCAATAATTGAGTGGAAAAAGAGTTCTGCTGGCACATTATCGTCTTACTTTTCTGACACTGGATGAATGTGAATAACCTCATAACCTCCAAGACAAAATCTTGTGAATCCTGTGTACATATATCCTGTTAACCACCAAGTGTGAATGAACCTTAGCTTAATTGAGACACCCAATGAAAGAGAGTTCTACAGATTCCTCGACATTATCATTGTGGCCACTTACGATACCTCGGGACCATTCGTAGACTTACGAAGAAAGATACAAACTTTTGTGCTTTCGTGAATACCAAAATTGAGCAGCATTCGTACGAACTGCGTACGAAGATTGTACGAACATCTTATGCAAAAATGCTTAATTAATACCACTTACGAACTTCGTAAGAATTTCGTGGCAGGAGAGGTTTCATGAATACCACTTACAAACTTTTCTCTTCTTACGAAGAAAAAGTTTGTAAGAATGTTTCGTGAATACGGCCCCTGGGTTGGGAAGCCCTGCACTAGGGGAAGCAATGTGCAAGCATTAGAAAAGTTGTTCTTTGAATATATTTTGACTTTGAGGAAAGTGCTTTTATGTTATTTATCAATTTAATTGTTTAATTTATTATACTCCAATTGCATACTCCATCTGGATGTTTTAAGTATTATTTTGAAAACCTATGAATGTTGGATTGTTCTGATGACACATTATGCTACATATGTTTGCTCTTCATGTACATACTTTGAAACTTTGAATTAATTTCCTACCAGTATGACAGCAAAAAAAGCCTTGCAATAAATTTTTCAGACACATTCACACTCATGCGTTTTTGGAAATTTTGTATTCTCTGGGTCAATTGCTAATGGAGATCCTCCAATTTCTAAATCAACTTTTATGAAATGATAAACACTCCTTCACAAAAGTTGATGGATGGAGCAGTGGTTGACCCAGGAGAAAATAGAACTTTCTGGTTACCTAGAATGGGAGAAAATAGAACTTTCAGATCACTTAGAATCTTTTTTTTTTTTACATAAATCTGAAAAATAAATCTTATAATATTTTAATACTTTCTGCTACTCTGCATTTGTCCACATCGGTGAACATGAAAGCTTGAAAGTTATATGCCTTAAACTCTGTCTGGATGTGCATGACATTCAAATCTCCAAGTCCAAGATTTCACTTTCCTGGGTTTGCATCATGTCCATGTATGTGGACAAAAAGGTTTAGGAGTTACAGTAGCCAATTGCATGCCAACAAAGAACTTGTTGCTTCACAAGTAAGTTTGTTCCCTTAGGAGTACATTCCAGTGCTCTTGCAACGGTTCCAAAAATCATTCTATGCATATATAATTAAATGATGGGAGAGACTCCCACCATTGGCCAATAGAGGATGAGACATCAAAAGAAAACATGTAGCAGACACTGGAGAGTGACAAGGTGCATCATCTCTGATTTTAATTTGATAGTTGAGATGTCCAAAAATATGGAAATGATGTCCTAGTAAAAGTTGTGTTGAATGGGTGCTGGAAAATGAACTTTTAAAAATGTCCACTTGCATGGACAAACGATTCCAAGCTTTTGATGTCACTTAGAAAAATAATTTTCTCCAGTAATTGTACTAACAAAGTGAGGGCATGTCAAAATTTTCATTTCATTACCTCCAGTAATTAGCTCTTTTGCAACAGAGGGATAAATATGTTTCTATGTGATTGGTTGGGAGGGAGTTGTCAGTCATCTTAAGAAAGGGCTCTCCTATTTCCCCATAGAAGCTCATGCCTAATTGCCATGTTTATTTCATTGTGGCCCCATTTTTTAACCCTTTCATAGCTGAATAACTTGGACATTTTTTCTGCACTTTTTCTATTGAACAGAATCATCCACCAAGAAAGGTCATATCATACATAAAGATGAATGCTATGCAAAAGCATGAAAACTCTTGAGGTACTTTTTGTCCTTCATCAGGCACAAGTGTATATTCATGGTCACTAGTACCTGACAAAGGACAAAATCTTTTTCAAGGACTTTCTCACTCCTGCATATCATTCACAATTATTTATTACATGAATTTTCTCAGTTGATGATATTTGTAATGATCATATTCCGTTTTTGAATATATGAACAAGTACTTGAATTTCTCTGGAAGCTCCATCCTTAGGTAGGCCCATTCAATAGAAAAAGCACTGAACATTTTTTTGAGTTATTTGTCTTCTTAATTAGGTCCTGAATGGGTTAATTGAAAGTGAAATCCCATCGTTCCAAGAGGAATGCTTGAGAATGAGATAAACTGATATTTTTATTTATTAACTGTTTTTTGTTCGAATTGACTCTTTTATATTAACATGCCACTCTTTATCATAGTGCTTCATGTGTCTTGGGTTTTGAGACAGAACCATAAATTTTCATTATTGGGTTGGGTTAAACATTTTAGGCATGAGTGTCCTTATCAAAAGTCTGTTATGACATTGCATTCATTATAAATTGTAAATCTCTAGGCATTATTTGACATAGTTTGATAACATAAAGCTAATTTGTTTAACTCTGGAAATGTTGCCAGTGAGAAATTTACTTATAATGGGGAGTTTTGAGCAAGCAAAGCCCAAAATTTAACCTTGAGTGCCCAAAAATTGTTTGATGGACACTGGATGGTAAGGAACATCACCAAGGTATTTGCTCACAGCGCCCCTCTGACTATTTCCCCCTTAAGAAGTAAGAATGGGTGTCAGGTCTGTCATTTTACATTTTCATGCATCTCCAGTACTAGCACTCCCACACTAGATTTTTTTTCTCTTTTACAGTGTTTTTCACTTATATCAGTTATTTTTTCCCCTTCAATCTGACTTCCATGCAAAGGAGCACATGGTTGCCCAAGTCAAGCAAAAAAATGTCCAACTTGAGTGGAAAACATTGTAGTGATCCCTGTTCTATTGTAGTTTGTTAGGATCAAAATATTCGTTTGAAAGACATGTAAGCACTATCCCTTGCATTTTTAGTTCTATTGATACCAGTTGCTTGATGTTCATGTGCTTGGATTTTCCATGCTTGTGCAGTGTGTATTTTCAAATATTATTCATAGAATTTAACCACTCTGTTTCACTGTGGGAACATAATAGCTGGTTCATCTGTGAATGTAAAGTAGATACTTTACAAAATACTATACATATATTTGAAGTTTGTGCCTCTGAGAAACCATGAATCGTGGTAATACTAGGGTGTCTCAAAAGTTCTTGTGCATATATGTACGTTTTATTTGATGACATGTTTTGGAATAGAACTTAATTTGGTCGTATCTTGAAGCGCGTGTCAAGGCGCGGATTAATATCTATAGTTACCCCCCCCCCCCCCCCCCCCCCCCCCCTCCTAAGAATATACATGAGAAAAATTCAGGGATGGATTAACAAGACATGTTCAATGTTGATAGATGATAATTGCATATTCAGGGACGTCATTTGGTAAAACTGCAAGGGGGGGTAAAAAAGCTAGGCAACTCGAGAAAAACACAGCTCGGCCAGAAATGTTATCGTCTGCTTCAATTTCGCGAATTTTACGAGGCACAATCAATTGCGAAATTGAATCGCTCCCGTATGGGGTAATGGCCAAAACACAGGGAATGGTCCAGTTTGTGAAATTCAAAATTCGCGAGGAAAGAAACAAACAAACAAACAAAACAAAAAGAGCAGATTTTAAGAATTCACAAGAATCGGCGCTAGAAATTCTGCCAGCGTTGTCATGTACAGTTGGCTGCAAGAATAATGGTATTTAATCAGCTGTAACTACAACCATGGTTGCACTCGGCAGCAGAAAATCTCTCAAATGAGAGTTCAAGAAGCGTAAAGTAGATTCGCAGAAAATTCTCTGGTTCAGGCAAACCGTTTTAACGCCCACGAAATCGATTAGATTTACGGCAACTGCGGAGGTGAGGAACTTTCCATTTTTGGGAATTCGTCGATCAATTTACTTCGCTTTCAGTGCAGCCAATGGCAGACAACTCTACTTCTTTCTTTTTTTTTTAACTCTCCTCGTGGCGGAGAAGAGTCTCTTGGCTCGGGCACACAAAAATATAATTCCGACTAATGCATCGGAAAAAGGGTTTCCGTCTAAATCTAATGCGTAAACCACGCCTCCTATTTTTTAATGTAAACATGCTGTTCCGAAAAAAAATGTCGGAATCGATCCCTCCGACTATAGCGATTAATAGAGCTTTCCTCTCATTTTCCGGAAAATTCCTATCCAATGTCGGAATCGGGTTTCCGTTCACGGAAGTAAATTTCCGTCTCGTTCTGGTTTTCCTTATTTGCATTATTATTTCATTATTCTAAAACGGCTCCTTTCTATTCGAAATACTCTATGATAAATGGGATTTAAATTCATTACGCGACCTCCACTTATCAATCCGTATTTGGTGCATCCCTATCACGTAGAAGCTGTAATTTCTATTCACTAGCACGATTATTCGGTACCTCCTTTTAATAATAATAAATATTCCATTCTCGCCTCTCTCTCTTCTCAGAGAGTGTTAGAATAGAACGACCGAGTCCTAGCCCTTTCAACTTTGATTGGTCCAGGCGGTGCGTGCAGCCGGCAGCCAGGAAATGTAGATGATGTCGGTGAAGCAGGGTATCCATCGTTTCAGAGCAGTTCCTTTCCCAACAGGAAAAAGAAGCTGGGATCCTCTTCATTTCCCCGGTATCCGATAGGGAAATACGCATAAAAACATTTATTCTTGAGAATAAAATCCGTGCGTTTTCCGTAACGTCACGATGTCATAATTAAGGGGATATCGGAGGCTACTGGGAGTCATCTACCATTCGGAATGTAAACTCAAGGTGTCAGGTGGCTTCCCTAAGGTTTCGATACGGAAAGGCCCGAATGATCGGGAAGGTTTTTTTCGAGAATATTCGGAACAGGCTTTTCCGACGCGAATGAGGAAAAGGATCGTTCGCTTGAACTTAGGAATTCGAAAATACATGTAGATCCCTTAGTCGTAATATTTTGTGAAAAAGAATGGGAAAATTCCGCAAGTAGAACGAAGTCGGATTTCTGAGGACTTACAGGAAAAACTTTCCGTCCATTAGAGGGAATGCAGGTTTACATGCTCTTAGTCGGAAATTTCCAAGTTTTTTTTTACAGTGTAGGTTCAAGGCTTAGGTTGGGGCATCAAGAGGCATTTCTGTCCATATTGACACTCCGAGTTGAGGTTCTGCGTTTTTTTAAGATTACGTAGGCTAACTATGTTCAACATTACATTTTCCCAGTCATACTGTACTTGAGTCTTTGGAAGCTCCACCTTCGCTGTTCTGGTGGCTGTGCAGCTGCCAGAACAACGTAGGTGGGGCTACATCCTTAAAAAAATTGAGAACATATCGGTTTTGTCCTATCATTCAACATGTTATCCAACTGTTGCTGACGCTGTCTTTTCTGTTTTTTTTTTGGCATGGCTTCGGAAATTTGTGTCCTGCGATGACCCTTTCCATTTCCTGTTTTGTTGTTTCGTGTTTTTTTAAAAATAAATTTCCGTTAGGCCTATGAAGCGGAAGAATAGGCGATATAAGAAGGTGATCGCGTCGCAAATTCAAATGTATAGTAGGAAGCGGCTGCCATCATTCGTAATCTCGAATTGACTGGGAATGATGAGCAGGGCCGACCCTATCATTATTTCGGCGCCCTGTGCAAAGAGACTACCAACGCCCCCCCCCCCCCCCCCCCCCCCCCCCCCCCC